TTTCCCCATTTTTACTGTTCTGTCTTTTTTTATGGCAGGGATGTTTTACTTCATACATACAGAGAGATACATTATCTGCACTTGTGGTTTCGCTTGTAAAATATTATAAGGCTTTGTATCTGCTATTTTTAATACAGATGTATTGTATTTGTTTTTATATTCTTTTAATATTTTCCTTCAGTTCTTAAAACAAGCAAACTATACACTCTAACTGTTAAAACCTTTTTTGTTGTCTTCTATAATCTTTATAGTGCTTTACCAAGCTCCCCTCAAAAGGAGATGACTTTGAAAAGAAAATCAGCTATTAAAAAAGAAATAGATGACGATGAAGATGATGATGGTGATGAAAGTGAGGATGAGTGGGAAGATGTGGAAGGTAACAAACAGCCTTTTAAGGTCGCCTTCTCAACTATTAAGCTCTAAATATTCTTAGATACTGTTGTTCTTGGTGATGATTTATTTGATTCTGGTGCAACCTCTCTCTGCAGTTACAGCTATAGGTTTTTCTTTTTTATTAGATCCTTCATAATATTTATATAAGTGATTCAATCTAATATAGTGATCAGGATTTTGAATATGATAGTGCTGATAGGTGTTTAAAGTTGAGTTTAGTTTTAACCCATTATATTTATCAGGTAGAATTTTAGCCTCTCGTTATTCATGTACAAACAGTATATTGGGGCAGCTTTATCCCTTTTCTAAAATTTCCTTTATTGCCTACTTAAATAACAGAAAGTTCAGAATTTGCTTCCTGCAGGTTCTATCCTGCCCCTCATTCAGTTTGCCTCAGAAAGACATATGGGACCTTTTTATATCTGGTGTTGAGAGTCGTATAGTTTTGTCTGCGAACAGAACAGCTCTACATCTTTATGTACCTGACACCTATTGACATGTGTTGCAATGCTGCAACTTAAAAGGGGCACTCCCTGAACTCTTTGTAAATAATAAATATACATCGAGAGAAGCTTTGAATTAGTCCAGCAGAAGAACTAGACTGTGATTTCCTAGAGATATGGACAGGAACAGATAACTCCTTCAGTAAGGTACTAGTCATTTAGCCATCAAACCAGGCTGCAAGGACCAGAATTGTATTGTATTGTAGCTGTAAATGTATGCCTGCTAAAGTGAACTCCCTACTTAAAAACAATTCTGAGTCTTGCCAGTCCTTTTGAATGAATAGTTAGAGAATTAGACTGAATGCAGAAATATGGCACCAAAAGCCAGAGGATGAAGTCAAGAATACCAAGGCTGGTAGGAATGTCAACATACTATATACATAATAATATCCCTCTACTGTACATTCTGTGGCAGAGTCCTGGAGCAGGTAACGTTAAATAGGACTGCATTACTATAGAGAAGGCTGCATTCTCAGCTCCTACCTAATGTGGAACACACAGCTCAAAAAATAATGAGGATTATTTTATAAATAACTGTCTGAATATAGTGCTCCTGTATGGTGCCATAGAGACAGTTCTGAAACCAAAATGCAGTCTTCCCCCACAACAAATGCAACATGGCTGATAGCAATGCAATGCTTCTCTTATGCCGCTCCACAAATGTTCTTCAACCCACTTCTGAAGTAATTATTTGTTCTTTGAACTTTCTGCTAAAGAGGGGTGATGGTGATGATCGTATTATGAAAGGGAGACCTGTCTGCTAGAAACTGCACTGAATCAATATCTTGATACTGAAGCTACTGGCATTCCATGAGTATCTTAGATCAGGGGAGAACAACAAATGGCCCATGGGCCAGACACGGTTTGCCAGGGTTAACTCATGGCAGACTGCCAGCACCTTATTTACCTGCATGTCCGCTCCTGTTGGCTGCAGATTGCTGTTCCCAGCCAGTGGGAAGCGGTGTCCGTTTTCCGCAGCTCCCATTGGCTAGGAACAGTGATCTGTGGCCAACAGGATCTGCGAGTGGCCATACCAGTGGATGCGTAAGTATACAAAGCACCGGAAGCCCACCAGAAGCAAACCCGGGCGAACTGTCTGAGACGCGCAGGCCACTTATTGCCTGCTCCTGCTTTGGATATGGCATACCGCTCATTTAAAGTAGGTTACTCAACAGACACCAAATGACCATTTCTTTGTGTACCTAGGTAAGCAAGAGAGGAAAAGCTCCCCAGGGACATTGATTTCATAGGCATCAATTTTAATTTTATATTTCTAGAACTCGAAGAGAAATCAGGCGAAGCTGCTGCACTTCCTGCACTAGTGCTGCCCAGCAAACCAGTTGAGATAGAGATTGAAACACCAGAGCTGGCAAAGAAAAGAGAGAGAAGGTAAGATCGGTTGTATAGAGGGAACATTGATCGCTTCCCCTAATGTTTTCCATCCATGTGCAGAATACATTTTTTATGTGCACTGAGGTATATACGCAAATGTGCTTCACCAGTAGAAACAAAAAACCTAGCTGTGGACGCTCTGCTAAATAGCTTGACAGCATTTGAATCTCTCTTGAATGGCTGCACAAGTGCACAGCTTATAGGAAATGCTGGAGGGGTAGTGAAGCTGAGAATTTACATGTGTTCTCATAGTTCTATGAATACTTGTTATAGGTGTATGATGAACTTTTCTTTCCCAATTCATATGGGCATTGTGAGGATAGAGTAGGTAGGTAGTTAATTAAAAGTGCTAAATAAACCAAGTAATAATTATCGTGGCCTTTTATACTGACAACTTTAAATCAACACACTAAGTCTCAATAGTAAGGCATGTAGAATTCATAGTTTTTAATCACATCTGTACTTCGTGATTATTTGCATAGAATTGATTGAGCTCTTCCAAAGCATGCACAGGTGTTAGTGATTCTCTGAGGCATTCTTTTTTGATAATTCCAAATCCTAGTCAGGAATCCATAACAATAGGTCCATAGGGCATTACAACATTCATTTATTTTATATCACTTTGTAGAGAGAAAAGAAAAGCCGAGTTCGAGACCTATCTGCGGAGAATGATGAAACGCTTCAACAAGGAGGTTCATGAAGATACACATAAGGTGAGGGTCACAGAAGCAACTTGGTGGAGAGGGTACAGATCATGAAGACTTCAAAACAGTTGTGGGATGTGATTGAAAAAACACAGTGACATTTAGTGCTAATTCTAATCTGCATGATCTATGACCTTGCCTAGAAATTAAAGGAAAAAGGAAGCAGCGTTCCAATCAATTCACATACTGGTTTCTCTCTGATCATCATTTAGAATCCCTGCCACTTGCAGAATCTGCATTATTGAAATTCAGGAACAAAATAGATGTCAGTGGTCTATATAGGATTAGCTACTGTATTGGGCAACTCCTGCTCATATTCATGGAATTAAACTCTTCTTCACATTTAAGTCTAAAGATACTGTTGGGCACACAATGTATTTTGATCAAGATCCTCATAGTATGTACGTACCTAACTCCCACTTACACCAGTGGGAGTTAAGCACATACATACTTGTTGAGGAACAGGGTCTTTATGATTTTCTTCTGGAGCACTGAATGGTAAGATGGCCTCCTTGGCTCAGAAGCTCTGGGTTCAATTTCTGTTTTGACACAGATCCAAGGATGTGACTTTCCTACTTTACAATAATGTTTCAAGAACAAACCCAGTAATATGTAGTGCACAGATATTATGATGAAGGTGGCCAGATAAATATCTACATACACCGAGTGAGGATTTTCTGTTAAATTAGGAAGGCAGAAGTATGTGATTTTGCCATTGTTGCTGGTGGACATCCTTCCAACTTATGTTTCGGTTTTTGTACTACCGATGGGAAAAGGGTGGGAAATCATGACAATGAAAAGTATTTAAAATGAGGACTAGCTTTAGATTTTATTTTTGAAGATGAATATTGCTCTTGCTTTCTAGTGAAGCGATTACAGTAGTTTCACATGTACAAGATAAGTTGGTTTTGTATCAATTTTTGTGCCTAGTCCCAGAAAACAAATAATGGGATGTGTATAAATCAAAGCTCATCAGTGTTTCTAGATGGTAGATGGATGTATGGTTGTCAAAGGGAACTTTACTAGCACTTCATTTCAGGGCTTGTTTAAAATCTGCTTCTCAGATTTTTGCTATCTTTGTTTCACTTCCCTAATAATTGTGCCATGGAGTAGAATTGAAACAAAGGTCTTAGAAGTGACAGTTTTAAAGACAGAATTTAAGCTGTTCTGGCAAAGGCTACAGAAATTGTATGTAACAAAAGGCTATATTCTCCTCTGGCTTACCTGGCCACAGCTCCTTTGAAAACTTTTGCATTCTCTTTTCACATAGCTTTTGGGTCAGATTCGTGCTGGTATGTTAACTGTAATGTAGTTGCACCTGAATTAGTATGGCTTGTTGTATTAGCTGAAAAGGCTTTGTATTTGTCCTTCTCTAGCTGTTGATAGAGGAGTAAAGTCATTCATTGTACCTAAAATACTGGCTGTTACAATCTTAAAACCTATTTTTTCTTCTCCAGGTTCACCTACTGTGTTTGCTAGCAAATGGTTTCCATAGGAACAGGGTCTGCAACCAGCCAGATCTCCAGGCTATTGGCCTTTCCATCATCCCCACCCACTTCACTAAAGTGCCTGCAGGTCGTGTAGACCTTCTCTACCTCTCCAACTTGGTGAAATGGTAAGAACCTCCTTTGTAATCATGCTTCTCTTATGTTGACTATTGAACTTCTCATGCAACACAAGTAGAGAGATCAATGTTGGTGAGTGTAGTCACCAGTAGTCCCTCAAAGTTTATTCCACACATGGATAGAAAAAATTCATGTGCATTGAGGCACGTGAGGATGTATGCCATTTGTAGAAACGCATGCTGCCAGCTGTGGATTCTGTGGGCACTCTGCTAATCAGCTGGGTGGCATTTGAATCTCTCAGAGGTGGCTGCCCAAGCACAAAACTTACAGGGAACACTGGTAGTCACCTATGCTCAAGTGATTTATCTTATTAAATATTGATGTGAGGAAAATTCCTGTTCCTCCTCCTTTTTAAACATTTTTAGGGAAAGGTGAACTATAGTTCTTCTTACTAGACAGTAAGATGAATTTGTCATTCTTCAAGGTTTGTTGCAACCTTCACTATCAACACTGAACTCTCTGTTGATGATCGAGAGAGCCTCCAGTCCACTTTAGAGAGGCGCTTTGCCATCTACGCCGCAAGAGATGATGAAGAGTTGGTCCATGTGAGTGACTTGAGGTCTGGATGCTCCCGAAGTTGCATGGCTGGGTTTGGATGCCCGATCATTGGGGTTGCTGCTATAGAGGTTGCAGGTCAGGCTCAAGGGGTGAAGCTGTGTTTGAAGAAAACTGATAGATGATCTCTGGGCCTCAGTTTTCTCTTTATTTTATCTTTGTTTTGAATGTAGTCCATGTGCTTTGAATGACACACTTGATTTATAATCTGAAAAAGCACTCACCAGGCTCCTGCTGTGATTAGCCCCCGGTTTTAAGCTGTACCCAACTGAAGGCCTGGTGCTTTTGGCCCTCTGTTCTAGGCAATATCCAACTGAATTCCAGGTGTAATTGGTCCTGATGCTGATGTCTTCACAGGTAAGTATGTGCATTCATTCAAAATAATGTTGTTCGAGTTTGCTCTGGAGGGCAAAGCAACTACAAAGCCACATTAACCAGCTCCCTAAGGATTCCTCTTGTGCAAGGAGATTCCTGGGGGCACACCACCCCTTCCTGGTCTCCAGTTTACAGGGTATATGTGGAAAAACCAGTTGTGATCAATGTGTCATTGCGCTGAGGCAATCCTCAGCAGTCAAAATGACATCTTGAGGCCAAAGGTATTCAGGTATGATTTAGAACAGCCTGAAGGTTTTGAATAACTGTTTTTAATGCATCTGGCAATAAGTCAGCCTGTGACTTGGGAACTGGTGTAGGGGTAAATTAGAGTCATGTCTTTCTAGTTCACATAGAGGCTACTGGTTAAAGAAAAATAATTTATGTGCACAAAACTGAGCACTAAGGGAAGGCTTCCCATCCTTCAGGAGAGCTGCATGTAAAGTGCCATTTTGCAGGCATGCTGCCCACAATTCCATCATGGTCCTTGGAAGTCTGAGAAATTGTAACATCATTCTAGTTGTAGAATGTCTTTGCTATGGCTGGAGGTGCAGAGATACCTGTAGTTAGGATCTATGGAATCATGCTTATGTGCATTGGCAGGAGAGGAGCACAGGTATGCCTAGATTTAAACACTTCTGGCTTGAATTTATCTATTCCTGCTTATTTCTGCTCACTTCCATCTAACAAAACAGCAGGTTACCACTAATAGTAGATTACAGTCACTAAACTAGAATTGCAGTGCCCTTAGGAATGGCTGATGTTTCTATATTGTAACTTCTCATTAGCATACATAATTTATTGAACCTATCCTTGAGAGACATGCCACCTTGCCTTCTTTAACACCATTTACCTCAGGAATTAGGAACTGAGAGGAAGAATTGTTCAGGGTTCTGGCACTAACCTCGGATTTGGGAGAAAAGGATGTGAGGCTTCGTCCCGCTACAACTTCTTTTGTAATTTTGGGCAAGTCATTTAGCCTCTTTGTGCCTCTGTTCCCCGTCTGTCACTCAGGGATGTTGTGAACATAAATACATTAAATACATATATTGCGAGACATTCTGATACTATGGTAATGGGCGCAATGTAAGTACCAGGTAACTGAAATGAATTTTTATCCACACACCTTGCGCCACGTGAAAGATCTAGCTGAAACTTGAATTTTGGGTTGGACTCTGGCTCTGATGTGGTTTTAAGCTGGCTGTTCATACTTTAAAAAACAAAACACAAGTTCGTTCTTTCTTTCTTTAACAGATATTTTTACTTATTCTACGAGCGTTACAGCTGATGTGCCGGCTTGTGCTGTCTCTGCAACCCATTCCCCTGAAACAGCCAGCAGGAAAGGTAGGGTTCATTAGTATGGTGAAAGAAAATAATTGAGTATTTTAGCAATCTGCATTCTAGCACAGAGGCTGATTGGAGTCACGTGATGTTAATGAAGACAGAAAAAAAAAGCTGTTAGAAAAATCTTGACAATAAGCTGTAGTACGGCAGAGTTGGAAGAATTGAACTTAAAGGAGTTATGTTAAAGTGATTAGCAAGCTCAAGTGGTGAGGATTGTGCAAGTGCCTTATAAGGTAAGGAAGCTTGGAATCACATTAATGCAATGTGTCTGCCTCTGTGGATAATACGAGGCTGTCTGCCCTGAGACTGCTGCTTATACTAAAGGTTGGATGAACGCTTATTTTAGTTTGAATATCTTATTTTCCGTTTAGCTTATACATGTTTCAATTCAACTTAAGATACATAAAAATAAGCCAGATTTAAATTGATATAAGAATGTCCATCCAGCTTTTTTCATCAGTATAAATTTAAAAAGTTTAAAGCCACGTTGCAAGTTACACTGGTGTGATTGAAACAAGGATCTAAGCTGCATAATGTCTTCCATCATATGTCTTTGGGGATCATACTGCCTGGGACTTTTAAAAACTAGGCTGGATGAAATGTTAGAGTTGGACTGAATGATCTAGGTCTTTTCCATCTCCAACATCTATGATGGAGACTAATTAATAAGTTCACAACCAGCTTGTACATCTAGCCAATATTCTCTTCACTGCTTTCTGGAGTTGGGAACACAGAGCACAGATTCTTGAAGTACACCAAAATGTCCCTCTTTAGCTGTTTGTAGGTTTGAGGTCCCTAAAACTTTTAGCCTAACAGAACAGTACTGTAGTCACAAAGATTTGTTCTTTTCCCACCTTGCTCAGTCAGTGGAAGTTGGAATTTGTCTAACAAACATTGTTTACTCTTGAAAAAAATCAAGATTACTTCTTTTGTTTTCAGGGCAAGAGCTCCTTGAAAAAGCATTCTGCCAAAACCCCTAAGGCTCCATCAAGAAAAAGCTCCTGCAAACAAGCCAAACAGGAGGAGATGTCGGGGAGTGAAGGCGCTGACAGGAAAGGAAATGTCTCTGTAACCAAAAGGTCAAGTAAATCAAAGGTAGTCAAGGGTGGCCAGGAACAAAAGGAAACCAGCGACGGTGAGAGCTATCTGGAGGAAGAGGTAGGAACACACAGGCCCAGAAACAGTTGCCGACGAAGAGCGACTGTGAAAGTGTCTTACAAAGAGGAGAGTGGAAGTGATGAGGGCAGTGATTCTGAGTTTGAGGCTTCAGATGAGGAGGACAGTCATTTCTCTGATGAGGATTTTGAAACTGTCTGTAAGAAGCAGAAGAGATCATCAGGGCCCCATAAAGCAAGGCTAGCAGTTGAAAATAGCAGGAAAGCCAAGTCTTTGGAATCAAAGGAGTTCAAAAATTCGGGTGGAAATGAGCAATTGCTGGCAAAAGCAGCTTCTCCAGGCTCTTCTAATAAACCAAAGAAGAGGAATAAAATAATCTCAAGTGATGATGATGATGGGGAACAGGAGGCGGTCAAAGTGACAGGCACAGACCAGTGGTTGGAAATCTTTGTTGAGCGGGAAGACAGATGGGTGTGTGTGGACTGTGTTCATGGCATCGTTGATCAGCCCTCCCTGTGTTTCAAATATGCCACCAAGCCTGTTTCCTATATTGTGGGGATTGATACCAATGGGCATGTAAAGGACATAACACAAAGGTATGATCCCGCATGGATGACGTCGACAAGGAAATATCGTGTGGATCCGCAGTGGTGGGAAGACACGCTGGAACTATATAGAAGCCCCTTTGTGGAAAGAGAAAAGAAGGAAGACAGGGAGGTAAATGGACACCAGTCAGTTGGGCTCATTTCATACTAAGAGCCAAATCATAACATCCTGAGTCTGGCAAAATTCCCTGGGAGATTTTCCCTAAGCAGGGATGCTGGGGTTTGGTGCTAGAGTATTTGCTGTAATTGTATGCAGGTGTTTTAAGTCTGGGACTGCTCTGGGGAACATACGTATGTTAATTATAAGAGCTAAGATAAAATGAAGACTGTTTTAGGAGAGATTCTAGAGGAAAAAATGCAGAGGACAAACCCATTTGTAAATTGTAGCTTAGAACAGCATTGCCCTTGTTAAACATTTTGAACCAAGCTCTTCTGTGGTGTAATTCCATCAACACCAAAAGAGATACACCAGGGATGCCTTTTGTCCTTTTGGGTACCTGATTTTGGTAAGGGGTTCTGATTTTTCCTTTGATCATGTTTTTATGTCCTCTTTCTTTGTTTTGTAAAGTGCTGGTGCAGAAGATTGTTGATTTCACTATTGTTTGCTTGGGTCACAGTTTCTAGTTAAACTTCAAGACCGGCCGTTGCCAACCTCCATTGGCGAGTATAAAAATCACCCTCTTTATGCACTGAAGAGGCATATCCTGAAATATGAGGCCATCTACCCTGAGACTGCTGCTATCTTAGGATACTGCAGAGGAGAGGCAGTCTATGCCAGGTAAGACACAAATGCTTGTAAAAATTATGCACATGTAACTAAGCTGATTGACTGTAGCAAGGCAGTTCTGTGTACCTTTGCAATCCATTGAAAGCATATAGGCAATCATTTTGTTCTGGCTTTTTTAGAGACTGTGTGCACACACTGCATTCTCGGGACACCTGGCTGAAGCAAGCTCGAGTGGTAAGGATTGGGGAAGTACCCTACAAGGTAAGGGAGCTTGGGATTACATCATTGCAATGTGTCTGCTCTTTGTGAATAAATACCATCTGGTATGAAAATACTGCTTTTATACCATCTTCCCATTGGCTGCATAGACAGGATTTGTACATGGGGGAGCTCTGTGATGGGGATGGAGATAAAATTATTTCCCTCCAAGTTGCAGGTAGCTGCCCTTCTGATGTGAATCCATCAGCAAGGCAGGCCCACCGATACATAGAACCCCATTAAATGCTCTTCACACTCTTCGGGATTATCCCTGTTTGGAGGCCTCCTGCCTTGAACACCTGCATTTTGTTTGATTCTCTTCAAAGCCTTCCAGGGTCCTTCCTTTAATTGGAAGATTTAGTCCTAGTGTGCCCAGGTGCACCCAGGGCTGGCCCGAGCCCTTTTGAAACTCTGTAATCTCCACCTGAGTGAAGACATGGCCTGATGGTGCAATTAGTTAGATGCTGACCACAGCCAGCCTGAGCCATTCTAGTGCTCCGGGTATGTGGCACTGCCCCCAGCTCACGGTGCATGTGCGGCTCCACCCTGGGGTGCACAGTGCATATACAGCCCTTCCCACTCCATGCGTGGAGCTTGTGGTAGCAGGATGCTGTTGGGCTGCCCGGCCGGGCCCTGCCACCACCACTGGCGTGCAACCTGCTGGCGCACGCGCCAGGCCATGCAGAGCCCCACAGCCATGGGGGAAAGGCGCTGCTGGCCAGCGCTGTGGGGATGTGGGCGGGCCAGCGCTGCGGGAGCTGGGCACGCAGCGCCTGATGGCAGCTACACCCCTTGCAGCTGCCATCAGGCGCCCCTCATCGGTTGGCGCCCTGGGCAGCTGCCCAGCTCGCCCATGCCTCCGTCCGGCCCTGGGTGCACCAAGCATAAACTATAACAGAGGTCAAAGGTATAGACTACGCACTTTTTCCCCTCTTACACCCTTCTCTTTCAGTTACCCAAGTAAAATCTGAGATCCCAGATTAGTACCAGTTTGTTTCTAAAGTGTAATAAATGTGTTTGCACAGATGGTGAAAGGATTTTCCAACCAGGCAAGGAAAGCACGAATGGCAGAGCCTTCGAACAGGGAGAAAGAGGATTTGGCACTTTTTGGCCTGTGGCAGACAGAGGAGTACCAGCCTCCTGTGGCAGTGGATGGAAGGGTAGGCAGCCCGGAAAAGAGGGTGATGTGTGTGGTGAATGCAAAAATGTGGAATGAAGATAGGATTTATTTTTCAAGGGTATCTGTGTGTTACTGGTAGGATCAATCTGCAGCCTTGGGATCCCTAAATTTGAAGTTGTTCAGATCTGGGATTTGTAGATTTAGTTAACAGCCCAAATTTTAGCCTCATCTAACCTATGTCTCTGTTGTTATGACTGCAAATAAATCTGGAATTTTGTGTCTGCCATTCAGAATTTTAGAAATCAAATTTAGTTAGCTTTTAGCTAATTAGAAATGAATTAAGCTAATTCAGAATAAGGTACTCTCGTTCTGGTATAAGAGCATTTACATATGGAAAAAAACTGGGAATAGTTAATTTGCTTGAAATTCACATTTTCTGAATTAATTTTAACCCTTACGTCAGGGTTGTCTACATAGGTAAAATATAGTTTCATAGTATAGGTCAGGGTCTGAAAATATGACTTGTGACTTAAATATTAAAGAACTGTTGCCATTGCTAATCAGACATTCAGAATAAGGGGTAACTAAGCATACACTTGTGAAATATTGATCTCAATAAGAGCAGGAATTTTCATTAATTTCCTGACTCAGTACAAGGCTTCACTTTTTATTTTCATTTTTCAATAACAGGTTCCCCGGAATGAATATGGAAATGTGTATCTTTTCCAGCCCTGTATGTTACCAATAGGCTGTGTACAGCTAAAACTTCCCAATCTGCATAGAGTGGCACGGAAACTGGATATTGACTGTGTTCAAGCCATCACTGGATTTGATTTTCATGGTGGCTACTCACACCCAGTGTATGTGATATGCCTGCTTTCTGGTTTGTTGAACCTATGAAGATTTTTTTTTGTATGCTACATTGTGGGTGTTCCATGCCAAGGGGGTATACCATGCCATTTTCACTGGCAGCTGCTGTAGACACAGAATACCTCCAGGCAAGCTATGGCATATGACCTCACAGAATTCAGCTCAACATCCTATCCTTTCATTTCCATTAGCAGCCTACTCTTGCTCTGGAAGAGTAGGGAAACCACCCTTGCAGAGATATCTATTGTTTTGCTTTTTCTGTCAGTACTCAGCAGTCTTCAGTGATGCATCAAAATGTATTGATTGGGTTCCATTCTTCCCCTAGCACTTGGCCTATTTTGCTAGTTCATAAACTGAGAGGTAAACTTGTTCTCCTTTCCAGTACTGATGGCTACATAGTCTGTGAAGAATACAGAGAGGTGCTCATTGCAGCTTGGGAGAATGAACAGGCAGAGCTAGAAAAGAGGGAAAAGGAGGTGAGAATTGTTTTCACAGAGTGGTTATTTTTTATATTGAACAATAATTTAAATTATTTTATATAACAGTCAAACGTGTGGGCTATGCAAGCATTCAACAGAGCTGAGCCAATGCATAGAGGTCAGAATCTAACATTTCAATAGCATTTATCCAAATAGAGTTCAAAGCACTTTTACTCTGATATCCAAACTGTAGGGACACATGACCTATTAGAATAATGCTCTCATCTCTGGGATGGATCGCAGCATCTGTTTAACAGCACACAGCAACATTACATAGCTGTTTAGAACAGAAAGTGAAGAATCCATAGCTCGGGCTAAATTTGTAGGCATGATATAATTACCCAAGATGAGATTTGCCAGGGAATGAGAGCCAGCATCCCACTTTGTGACATCTATGTTGTATTTAATCCAAATGTTGGCCCCTCCTGCAGTATTGGATGGTGGGACATTGATTTAGTACGGACTTTGAGAAAAGTGCCCAATTCAGTATTGACTCAGAGACTAATGCCCAATATCCTACAGCAGGGCTGGGCAATAATTTTTGATGGGGGGGCACTCCCAAGATTTTGGAAAGTGGTCAAGGGCTGGACTCTCACATAATATTAATGGAGGAGGTTCGGGGCTCTGGGATAGATGCAGAAGGGACTTGGGTGCAGGGTCTGGGAGTTAGGGTGAAGGAGTTGGTTGTGACCTGAGGCACTGGACTGGGGCAGGGGTTTGGGATGTGACCTGGGGCAGAGGATTGGGGAGCAGGTTCTGGGAGGAGGTATGGGTGTAGGAGTGGGAGGCAGAAGGTTTGGGTTATGTGGGGTTGGGTGGCAGAGGGTCAGGGGAGGGAGGAGCTGGCATTCCGGATGCAGGCTGTGGTCAGGAGACTTACCTGAGTGACTCCCAGCCAGCAGCCCAGCACGTTTTGGAGGCAGCCTCCCTGCCTGCCCCACCCCTGCACAGACTGCAGTAGCCATGTGTACATGTGAATAACTATGAGCTGGGGAGGGAGGCTATTGTGCTTCATGTGCTGCCTGTTGTTCAAACTAGAAACCAGCCAATGGGATTGTGTTGGGGCGGGAGGCAGCTCATGAAGCCTTCCCACCTGCCCTCCAGGCTCACAGTTGCGAAAGAAAAACAGCCCGTCAGCTGCTTTTCTGAGTGGTTTGCGGGTGGGACTGGGCAAACATGGAGATGCCTGGGGCTTCCTGCTGTGTCTGCAGGCTGGGATCCGGTGGCACAGCAGTCTGGATCTGGCCCATGGGCCTCATTTTGCCCAGTCTGTCCAACAGTATCTACTGACATTCTTTTAGGGTTTCTTCTGTTAAGTACTGACCAATCCTGGCACTGCTTAGCTCATGAGATGTAAAAAACTATGCTAGCTGCTGATAGTAATAGTATAAAATTATATGATGGAATAAATATGATTGTTGTACAAACATAGACCTTATAAAATATAACTGCAGAGGAATGATACAATGCATTTAGATTAATATACAGAATTTCTCCATTCTGTTTAAACACCAAAGACCTTTCAAACAGTTTTGAATACATCAGAGTTCTTGACTTTAAAGCTTTCTTGTTTTGAAATAATAATTCCACATAGAAAAGAGAAAAGAGAGCACTGGGGAACTGGAAATTGCTGGCAAAAGGACTTCTCATAAGAGAGAGACTGAAGCAACGATACTGCAAAAAGGTAAGAATCTTTGTGTATTTCTGCTACTAGTAAGGTGTTTTCCAAGGTGGAGTTTGCCTATCATGCATCACTCAGACCTCTCAAGAAAATGGTAGCCATGGACTTTGCATTTAATTCTTGTCTCTTGTTCCCAGTTCTTACAAGCTCTTTTCTTGGGACAGCTCAAATGAATAACATGAGCAGGATTCAACACTTTTGATTATTAAAGTGGTGAGGGGCCAAGAAACCCAACTAAGTGCATCCTCACTTGATTTGAAATTATGTCTAGCATTGTAACTTATCTAGTGCTTCCTTTGGCCTTTCCATATATTAATTGCAGCCTGTGAGAACACTTGAGGGTTATTTTGGCAGATGAAGCTGAGTACCCTTGCTGTCCTATTAATGCAGTTGGTGGTGGTGGTTAATGTCACTACGCACTTATTTGATAAATGACACGTGACCGTTAGCAGTGTTTGACACTGGCATGCTTTATTTTCAATGGGTACATCAGAGAACTTCCAAAATCTCTTCATGGAAAGTTCTCTCCCTTTCTTCTCCCACTAAATTTGAAATCTTGTCCCTGTTTAATATAAGATGAACACTCCGCAACTAAGCAACATGGTTTTATATTATGGCCTTAAGCGACGAGGAGCCCTGTGGTACCTTATAGACTATCAGATTTATTGGAGCATAAGCTTTCCGGGGCAAAGACCTACTTCGTCAGATGCATGCATGGTCTTTGCCCCCGAAAGCTTATGCTCCAATAAATCTGTTAGTCTATAAGGTGCCATAGGACTCCTCGTCACTTTTGCAGATTGACTAACATGGCTACCCCTCTGATATTATGGCCTTGTTCTGACACATCCACTTCATATTTTGTATTACTCCAAACCATGCAGGTAGTTTTCAGAGGAGAAAAGCGACCTGTGTGGGTTTGTTATGAAGTGAAATTATTCTGTCCTTAAATATGTTACAAAGGTGTTATGTTAAAGATTGTTAAAATGAGAAGGGAGACAAATTATTCTCCTTAGCTTCTGATGATAGGACAAGTAGCTTAAATTATAGCAAGGGACGACATTAGGAAAAACTACATAAAAGTTAGGTGATTAAGCACTGGAATAAATTGCCTAGGAAGGTGGTGGAATCTTCATCATTGGAGACTTTTAGAGCAGGTTAGACTAACACCTATTAGAGGTGGTCTAGATGGTACTTGGTCCTACCATGAGTGCAGACGACTGGACTTGATTACCTGTTGAGATTCCTTTTAGTCCTGTGATTCTATGATTCTGTGTTTCTCATCATGCGTGGGGATAACTAAGTCAGATTTTAAAGCTGGTTTCTTTTTACATTTGGGCTTAACTAGTGAACTTTTGTTCTGAACACGAATTAACGCTGCACATACAAGACATAGACTGATGCTGCTGTGTATAGAGAATGATATAAAATGTACCACTTGTTTGCTATAGAACACAACTGCTAACTAGAGCAGCATCTTCCATGGTGATGAGACTATATTATGATAAAAAAGGACCATTAAAAGCACCCTGCTTATTTTTTTCCAGAGTGAGGCATCAGGATCCATAATGGAGAACGGAGCTGGATTCTCTTCTGATGAAGAAGGGGAGCCAAGTTCAAAGACTCCAGCTGAAGATGTGATTGTTTCTTGGCCTCAGAATCGGCAAGTGGAGGAACCAAGAAAAGAGAAAAAAGGTAGAAAGAGTAAGCGGGAAAAGAAAGGAGAAGCAGCACACTTGTTTCCCTTTGAGAAGTTGTGACTATAACAGACTGCTTAATCCTTTATGTTCAGTTTCTTAATGCAAGGGCAAAGTTAGTTTTAAAGAAACCATCTTGTAAATAATTTCAGAGCTAGGAAATGTTTTTCTACTAGTCACCTGTTTCGGTCTGAATGTGTCATAAATGTAAATAGAGCAGAGAGCAGATATGGAATTAGATTTTCTACTAGTCACCTGTTTCGGTCTGACTGTGTCATAAATGTAAATAGAGCAGATATGGAATTAGATAAAAATACATTGCAACAGCAGCTTACCAGATGGTGTGCTTTTAGCTCTCCAGTGTATATGCATTTCTGGTGGTGAGAGGTGGACATGCTGTGGTATAATCACAAGCCTTTCTCTCAATCCAGCATTAAGAATTCTATAAAGGTGAAACTGGATTCATTTTCTTATTTCTTTTAGATTCATGGGTAACTGTTTATCCTTTTTATCTGTGGACTTTTGAGGAACAGATTTATAGCTATATCTTCTGAGAAAGGTGACCCTGTTGCAGCTGTTCTTCCTCTGACAAGTATTGTCACCCCTCCAATAAACCTATTTCTGCATCTCCTTCTCCTAGGTCTTATTTACTGACAAACAGAAGAATGTGTAGCTGCTACTTAGGAGACAATGCTGTACTCTATCATTGGCCTGGAGAAAACTTGCTATAGGTAGCTAATCCATATTTTAAATCAGTGATGGAATAAACTTTTATTCCAATTTGCAGTCCACCACAAAGCTAGAAATACAAAGAAACAGGCAATACCTCATAGCTTGGCTGAACCGTAACATTTGACTTTTTACTTTTCTGTCCTTGATTTTTTTTTTCCTTTTCTCTCTCTAGAAAGGATTGATAAAAGTCTTCAAATAATTGGGGCACTGTTATGTTGCATTTTTCAAGGATTCTTTTTATCACCACCACCTTAGTTAAAATAACTTTTCACAGTGGTCAATGTCTGCACATGGCATAGGTTGGATAATGAAAGCAGACAAGGAACTTTCAGTTGGGAGCAGAATTTGCAAAAGCACCATTTCCAAAAGTAAAAATCATTGGACACTGTTGAGATGGTTATCCATTGCCTATAGCAAGTTTTATTTCATTAGTGAGACAGTACTGGGTTTGTATTCTAAACATTGTAAAGGAACACTTAAATCCATGCAAACTGTTTATGGGGTTTTTTTAAATGGAAAATGTACTTGATCTAGGCTGCAATTATATTTTCAAAACTTTCAGTTGGGCCTAACTTCACTTAAATTTCTCTAAGAAAATTCCTAGTCACGGAGGGAATATTATAAGCCTGATGCTTCCTTGCCTTTTGCCATGGGCTCAAACTCACTGTAATTCTAGTAGAAAGATTAAAAATGCAAGGAAAAGTTTTAGTACTTATGTATATTTAGAAAAAAAAATTATACTTATTTTTTGGAAAAAATAAAGTGTTTACAAAGGTCAGTCTTGTGCATGATATGTTATTACTATGGGTCATTGTTTTGTGTATTTAAGTGTATTCCCTGTGAACAACTAAAGAGGAAAAATCATTGACCTCAGGCAGGGTAGTGATTACTCGTGTTGTAGCAGTAGCATTGCCAATCCTAACTGTTCAATGCATGAATGGCTTGAAATTTTTTTTTAATTGACTTTGGGATTCTTTATATTCTGCTCTTTGAGCTTTCTGGAGTCATACCAACTTTTTTAAAACATGGAGTAGAAACTTTAAACAACAGTGAGATTCTCAGGTAGTTACTTGACTACAGCAGAGCCTTCAAGAAAAACCTCTATGTAATGCAAGATTTGACAGCATTGCAATAATTCCCAGAGGGCCCCTTCAAGCTGTGGGTTCGCTTGTGCTACATGCTGGGCAAGTTACATATGAGGACATGGTTATACCGTGAGCCATTTTCAGTATATGGGCCAAACCCAACTCACTGAAATTAGTGAGTTTCTGAACTGAAATGACAGCTGTGCATAAATGGAAGAGGACTCTAGAATCAATTACATGGTCAACCAACATCTTAAATGATCTAACACAGCTCTATGCAGATGATCTGTATCACAGGGGGAGGTTCCTATTCCGTACAACCAGCATAAGAGAAATATTACTGCAGTTACTAGACATTTTAGTTGCTTATGCACTGAAAATATCACTTCTGACTATGCTGCTTAGAAAGGAAATGCACTCCATTACATCAAGGACGATAAAGCCATTGCGGAGAAACTAAATGATTTCTTTGCTTCAGTCTTCACGGCTGAGGATGTTGGGGAGATTCCTGAATCTGCACCGTCCTTTGTGGGTGATGAATCTGAGGAACTGTCCCGGATTGAAGTGTCATTAGAGGAGGTTTTGGAACAAATAGAAAAACTTAATGTTAACAAATCTCCGGGACCGGATGGCATTCATCCAAGGGTTCTAAAAGAACTTAAATGGGAAATTGCTGAGCTATTATCTGTGGTTTGTAACCTATCCTTTAAATCGACTTCCGTACCTAATGACTGGAAGGTAGCCAACGTGACACCAATATTTAAAAAGGGCTCTAGAGGCGATCCTGGCAATTACAGACCGGTAAGTCTTAACTTCAGTACCGGGCAAATTAGTCGAAACAATAGTAAAGAATAAAATTGTGAATCATGTAGAAGAACATAATTTGTTGGACAAAAGTCAACATGGTTTCTGTAAAGGGAAATCCTGTCTTACTAATCTGTTAGAGTTCTTTGAAGGGGTTAACAAACATGCGGACATAGCCGCGGGCACGGAGTCCGCACTAACGGGGATTTAAAAATGGCGGCGCCTGGCAAGATGCAGATGAAGCCCGGGATATTTAAATCCCGGGCTTCATTTGCAACTTCGAATGACTACATTAACCACCCTAGTTCGAACTAGGGTGGTAGTGTAGACATACCCGGAATTATTTTGGCACCTACCTAAGTAATAGATGCTCCATCAAAATGTTTTCCCTACCTGATTTTTCTAATGAGTTTTTCCCCTCCTCACTTTAATTTTTCATTTGACAGCTAAAAATGTGCAGGACAACTGACAATAGCCCAGTTAAGTTGAGGACTAGCCAGATTGTCAGCTCAAACCGATCCGCTGGTGAAATATGGTTAACCATAGAAGCAGGTTCAGACTTTTTGGACAAGTTTTTGTTTTTGTCAAAAAAATGCTGATTCCTCAAAATGAAGCTTTTCACGGGAGAGGGCTGGTTTTGATAAAAATTTCCACGGGAAAAAAGTTTGGAGAAAGCAGTTTCCAAATTGGCAAAAATTTTGCCTTTCACCATTTTCTAAACAAAAGAATTTTTTTGTGTGGGCTTTGGAATGACTTTTCATTGTGAAATTTAAGCTAAATATGGTAAAAAATAAATGCATAAGTCAATAGTGGAACTCAAAATAGTGTTTCAGTTGCCCCCCTGCACATTTTTTGCCCTCAGATTTTTAGTTCATCAAATTGCAAAGATTTCCCCACGGATCCTAAATAGGCCCATTAACCTGCATTGGACCTGGAAACTAAGGCAGAATTTGAACACAGACCCATTAAAAGTTCCAACTTGTTATCACTCTCATTTTTTCCCCCCTGCAAGTCTGAGTCCGCCAGATGCAGGTTTTTCAGTTCTTCTTCACACAGCGTGTTGTCAACCTGTGGAACTCCTTGCCAGAGGAGGCGGTGAAGGCTAGGACTATAATAGAGTTTAAAGAGAAGCTGGATAAATTCATGGAGGTTAGGTCCATAAAAGGCTAGTAGCCAGGGGATAAAATGGTGTCCTGGGCCTCTGTTTGTCAGAGGCTGGAGAGGGATGGCAGGAGACAAATCGCTTGATCATTGTCTTCGGTCAACCCTCTCTGGGGTACCTGGTGCTGGCCACTGTCAGAAGACAGGATACTGGGCTAGATGGACCTTTGGTCTGACCCAGTACAGCCGTTCTTATGCTTTACATCATGAATATGTACAAATTAAGCTATTGGGGATACTCTTAATTGTTCTGACTGTAATAAGAATCTCATTTCAGTGGAACAAGAACCATCACTATGTACAATGCTTTTCAAAGGGTTGTGGTGCAGATAGGGCTGTGGCTGAAGTTAACTAAGGAAATGTATGCTAAGGTTTAAGCAACTTACCCACTGCCTTCAGGATGCTATGGCAAGCTAGGAAGTAACTGTCTGCAAATTCAAGTGCTCTTTAAAGCATTCAATCATGTTGCCTCTAGAGCAGGTGGGGAACCTAAGGCCCAAAGGCCAGATGCAGCCCCCAGCTTGCCTGGATCTGGTCCCCAAAGCTCAGAGCTTCCCCCCAGCATTAGGAAGCCCATGCTACTGCTCTAAAATCTACTAGCCTTGAACCCCCAAGCTCTGGTTTGCAAGGGAAATGTGGGTTAATAGCCCCTGACCTAAAAAAGGTTCCCCACCCTGCTCTAAAAATCTATAAAGTACCTTACCCTGGCTACTAGTAATTCAGGTAATATGAACATGCTTCCTGGTAGATTGAGAAACAGTTGAATGCACATTTTTCAAGAAAACACTTGCTTTTCTCACCATAGTTTTAGTAATGAGCTAGTTTAGGTGCTGTAAGTTGTATGTCTCTCTATTTAACATGTCTCTAGGAGAGTTCAGACCATCTTTAGCATCAAAATCCAAACACACACACCTCATGTGAGAAACTTTTAATATACACAAGTTCAGCACTTCCATAGAAAACTTTCATATCTCCATTGTACAATAGCTGAATGATAGCTGGGGTCTGTTTGAAAAGTACCAGTTCCCCAAAAACACAATTTGATGCACAAATTATGTAGCAAAACACTTCATAAATCTTTCAATTGACAATTTGCATGTCCAGGCAACATGACCAAAAGCCTGATCCCACTGACCATTGGGGCAGAATAGGGTCCTAGAGCCTTGAAAACGAACTGCTAATGGCTGAACACCCACAGGAATAAAAATGTTGCCTGACACTGATTATTGTTCATTCAAGTAGCAGCATCTGCCCCATGTTACATTTTATAAGCCATTATATTTTGTGCAAAAAGAATTGGAGGAAATGTAGATTACAAGACGACAATAACCAGGTCAACAATCAAGACATTAACAACTGCATAGAAAATTGCCCCCTCATTAAAGCCTTGGAATCTCATCTTGTATTCATCATTTAAATGGTCCTTGGCCTGTTATATTACTAATGCTAATACACCTGGTACCTACAAGTAACTGATTTTAAAATCCCATGTTTTGATTCCTTAGATGAGGACTATACCTTCTTCATGCCTCAGCTTTGGTGTACTTTCTCCTTTTTAACACTAAGATCCTGAGCAAGCGAAGCCCCATCATCCATTAAATATATTCAAGTATAATAGTGTAACAAGGGAAAGGATGTTTTCTTCAAGTTCTTAACTGGACTTCAAGGGACAAGATTTTGAAAACTCAGCCTTCTCCATATCGTGGTCAGTGAGCTACCACATTGCTGCTTTGTGCACGGACAGAGGTTTTCTTAAACATCCAAAGTGGAAGCACAGAAAAAGGCAGGCTGAAAGACTCTTAAGGTGCAAATATTTTTTAAATGATTTAATTTCACTTAAGGTATTAAGTATGAGGCAGTTGCAAACACTGCAGTAGACTGTTTAAATCCAAGCACTACAGATTGAGTGCATAAGAAACCAACTGAGAATTTTTCATTAGCCAAACTAAGTGAAATTAATACAATGAGGAAACACTAATATTTTCATTTAACTACAGTTTACACTTGTTTTACAGACTACATCAGTTCTTAGTTTCAATATGTTAAGATTACACCTTTAAGCAAGTGGAATTTGAAATAAGTTTAAGTTTTAGAAAACAAGGTAGACATGCTAGCAATTCTGGGTGTCCAAATGAAACCGCTTCAAGGGTTCTGATTCTGAGTAAGTGAAGTCTCATCTCTTGCAGCATCCCCTTTAAAAGGCTGAGCAGCCAAAAATCACTAATTACTTTTGAAAAACCATATATATATATATTACCTGATTTTCTAACTACCAAAAACAAATGTCTAGCACAGCTTTCACTCACATGCAAGTAGCATTTTGTCTATAAACACTTCAAAACATTGTCAACATTAAGTATATTCCTCTGTGTACATAAGACAATAAAGGAAGTAGTTACATGAGATTGTGTGCCTGCCAATCTGCTAGATATTGCACATCACAGATTGCATAAGGAAATCTGTTCTTGTTCCCCTGTAGATAGCATACACCATTACTGTTTTAATAATTAAAGATTGGCAAATAGTTGTAAGTAACAAATGTATCCTGTAAATACACAGAATATCACTCACCCCAAAATGCAGCCTCTACAGTTACATTTTCCCATTGAGGTGTAATAAGCATACAAAAAATGCATCTTGGTTTCCTACTAAACTCTGATGCAGGGAGTCAAAATTCTGAACTGTGATGTGCCTTACATATAATAGCTTGATACATGATAAATGCATTTAGGATTCAAAGGATTTAAAAACAAAGTCCAAGTGCAAGGAAAAAAGGAATTCTTCCACCTTCACTGATGCTTCTTTGGTGGAACCCGGGATCTTGCAATCACAATAGGAACCGCAGACAGCAGCCCAATCAGGAGAGCCCAGAGGGGGCGGTAAAAGAACCAGCCCACAGAAATAGTTAGCAGGGATAGTGAGGTGGCTATACAAAAAGCAAAAGCTTTAAGTCCAATATTAACCAGATCTCGAACAACAGGAAACCAATCCACTGTGGTTGGGAAGAAGAATTAAACAGAAAATGAAACATCTGAGAATATGTACAGCTGTAAGATTTTATACTGCTAAAAATGTGTGGTTGAAGTCCCCATTCAACATCTCTGGGAGGTAGTTAAGTGTCATTTCCTGCCCACCCCTCCTTTAGATGGGTAAAGTCAAGCTAAGAAGTTCAATACCTTTTCCAAGATATAACGGCAATTATATGGGAGAGCCGGGAATTGAATCCAAAAGACTCTTAATGGCCAAGCATGTCCTATAGGTACAAGGCTGCCCTTCTGCTTATGTATAAAATACATAGGCTAGATGCATATGAAAGCGTCACCAGAGGCAAGACTACGTATAACTGTTCACATTTCACTGTGAACTGGAAATTGCATAAAACATCTCTAAAGAATCTTAAGTATCGTGACTGTTTCTCCCAAAATACAGGACAGATGATATTTCAGACCAAGAGATAGCTCTGGAATTTAAGCAAGTTTAAGGTAAAAAAAAAAAAACAACACCTCCTTTGCCAAGTTTCTTCTTGTAACATTTGCCTTAATCTAAAATAAATGCTATTCAAGGACCATCTTTTGTTCAGTGTTTGTACAGTGCCTAGCACAATAGTGGACTGGGACTCAAGGCATTACTGCAATACATCATAATTCAGATTTTAGTACATGGCAGTTGTGTATTTGGAAACAAACAGCAGGTCTGAAAAGGCTGCAGGGGGAAGTTTTTAAAAAACCTGCCCCACTAGTGGTATCAGTCTCAGTTAGCATCTAGTGTAGATTAGATGAGAAAACAACTATGAATTGTGGCCTAATCCAAGTTTCAGATTACATGGGTTCAAGCCTCAAAATTCTAATCCAGATTTCATACATACACATGGCACATGTTTGGATTAGGGATGTAAATGACTAGGCAACTACCTGATACACATATGCTTATCGGGCACTCAAGCAGTGACTCGACTAGTCACTTCCCCCTCTCCCCCGTCACCTCAGAGAGAGAGGCAGCAAGGGGGGTGGAGCAGGAGCTAGTGCTGGGGGGAGCTGTTTTAAAAAGCCAGTTACCACCACCCCCAACACCATCTCCACATGGGACAGGGGAGGTAGAGATTCTGTGCCTCTCCCTTTGAAATGTACAAGAGCCATGGGCAGCTCCTGTACATTTCAAAGGAAGAGGCGCAGCAGTCGACCCTACCTGAGCAGGGAGTGCTTTGGTCCCCCTTGCGCAGCACCTCTGCCTTTGAAATGTGCAAGAGCAGCAGAATAGCAAGCACCCCACTCTTATCGACTAATCGATGGAAATTTAACATCCCTCGTGTGGATCTGGGATTTTGGTTCTGATTTTTATTGATTTAAAGGCCAACACCAAAATTCAGATACAGATTTAAATTCTGCACCCCCAAAGAGTCATTTTTGTGTTTTGGTCATTTTGTCATTAGAATTCAATGTTTTGAGTCAGGTCCCATCTCCAAACAAAGCTCTGTTTTTATTAACATACTTACCCAAAGTGTAAAGGATTCTGGTCATAAGGTTGATGCCTACAAACATAGCCAGCCAGCCAGCTGCACGGAGACCCCAGGTCTTCATGGTGTTACTCTCATGCTCTTTTTGAAACACCTCCTGAAACTCAAACACTGTTATACATTGCCCATTTCTCAGTTTCTTAGACTCAAATCCTGCTGTTTCTCAACTTTATGAATAAATACATCACAGCTGATTGTGCTTGTAAGTATTAATGGTTTCCCAAGAGATATACAGCCATTTGCAATACTATCTTGGCCACAAAGTCTGGCTCCCGCTCTCCCACTCTCCCTCCCCCTTTAACAGCAGCCTTACATGTTACAGCAGTAGCCAAAGGGCATCTTTGTTGGTTCACTATTTTCTGTCACGTCTTGTGATTAAAGGTGGGGACACACTTGAAAAAGTGTTCAATTGTTGCTGATGAACTCAAATTGGGAGCATCCATTTCACTAGCAAGGAAGAATCAGCTTTACTAGTTTTTACAAAAGTGTAAATTTAATTCAAGATTGCTGTCATTCTCCCTCCTTATCCAAATCTATACACTAAAATCAGCAACCTTCTTTAGGATTAGGGAATACTGTCGATCTGAACAACAAATTTGGCATGATTCGTAAAACAAGACACTGCTTACTTAGTAAACAATTTTAGAAAAGCAGATTTTCAGAACCATATGTACTACTTTAATGAATTATGGTCACACATGTTTTAGATGCTCTGCAATGAATTATAAAGGTGTTTTCTATTAGTAAAATACCTCCTGGAAAATGCTTGTATCATGTTTGGGCCAATTTCTACATTCAATTACTCTTCACCATGTCTTTATTGCTGCTGTGTCTCCATTTCTGCTGAAGTAAAAATATTAAGATTCACATCTTACAACAAATGAGGTTTTTTCTTCAAGTCCTTGTTCACGTCGATTCCAATCAGGTGTGTACAGTTGCCAGAAAGTTTAGCCCTCAGCAGCTCCAGTTGGTTTGGCAATAGAGCTGCTCGGAGCGGTGCCTTTCATGGTGCTCAATATATGACCCTGCCAGCCCAACCTCTCTCCTTCAGTTCCTGCTTACCGCCTGTGAGAGTTGTCAGAAGTGAGTGACTAGCTTCGAAGTTCTCCTCACCTTTCCTAGATTTACAGTTTATCTCCACAGCTGTAGCTGGTTTAGTTCTCTTAGCTGTAGTTCTGTGAGGAGTGGGGGTTTCCCTTCCACCTCAACTTTTCTCCTTTAAGTTCCCAGGACTCAAGCCCTGCAATAAGTCCATGCCAATGGGCAACTCCCACAACTCTTGTTTAAAAGTGTCTGAGGAAGGATCACACCAAACCGATAGAAGCAAGATTTGTAAGGGTTTTTGACTCAGGACTCAAAAGAAGCAAGACTTCAGGTCCACTCAGCAATGCTTTAACTCCCAGCTGCATCTCCAGGACAGAGCTTAGGAGTCACCTGATTGGAATGGACGTGAACAATCACTTAAAGAAAAAACTGTTACTCATCTGCCCATAACTTCTGTTCTTCTAGATGTTTTGTTCACGTCCAATTCCAATATCCATTGTGGAGCAGTCAACAAAAGAAAACCGAAGGAGGGATCAGGCCAGCAAGATCATATGCCGAATGCCATAAAGGTGCCACTCTGGGCGGGGCTCCACAGCCAACCTGATGGAGGCTGCTGAGGGAAAATCTTTCCGGCAGCTCTGCATGCAACATGCACACACCTGAATAGAATGCACGTGAACACATCTCGAAGAACAACAGTTGAGATCAGGTGAGTAACAATTTATTATCCTCTCTTTCCAGCCCAGCCTGAAGCAAGAGTGTGGTTTACCTACTGCTGGGAACTCAAGTCTTTGGCATCAAGGATTTTTTGCAAGGCACAAGACAATCACTAATGGAAACAACCTGCCAGGAGAGTAAGTGAATCACCAAACTCCTGGAACATGCAGGATTTAATGGAACACAGTTAGGCTTTGTCTACACTGGCAGCTTCTTGTGCAAGAACAAGAAAACATCCACACTGCCATGTGCGAGCTGTGCTTTTGGTCAAGAGCTTCCATGGCAGTGTGGACACTATCTGGCACAAGGAAGCTATGATGGCCATTTTAGCCATAGGGCTTTCTTGCGCAAGAAATCCCTGCTGAGCGTCCACACTGCCCTCTTGCACAAGAGCTCCTGCGCAAGAGAGCTTACACCTATTAAAAAAAGAGCATAGCTCTTGCGCAAGGAGCCCTCTTACCACGCCGTACTGTAAATTTACTTGCGCAAGAGCAGGCGGGCAGTGTGGACGCTCTGCAGATTCTTGAACAAGAACAGCCGTACTTGCGCAAGAAGCCGCGAGCGTAGACGTAGCCTGCGTTAGTTGCCTGAGGGTTTCCGCCAAGCTGTATTATTTTAAACCTCCCAGTCTCTTAAAAGGGATGGATTTGGGGAGGGATAGGATTACAAGCTTTAATTTAAAAAGACTAACTTTGTAAAATATATCACCATTAGAAAGCATTTGGGTGATCATAAAACAAAACTGGCAAACAATGGAGGGCGAAGGGGCGAGTGGGCAAAAGAATGCCATTTTACAGTAGTGTTGGTCACAGGACATGAGAAACAAGGTGGGTGAAGCATCTCTCGTCCAATACAAGATACCACTGTACACACAGCCTCATTTACAGGAGAAGTAAGCAGTAGCAGAAGGAAGATATTTGGTGTGGTAACTTTAGCCACAAATCATACTTTAATGAATTCTGACAGGATAAGAGTATACAGGGTTTGCATTCTTCTGAGGCAGAGCCAAGGTTAGGCATATGCAAAACCAGGGTAGAGAAATGAGAGAGGTCAACACAGGCTCACAACTATCTTTTGCCCTCCAGCAGAGAGATTATAGGCAGGAGAGGCAATAATCAGATCAGATTTCCCTTGTCCAGCAGCAGAGTGGTAAATTACCACCTAAACTTACCTCAGCAAATGAAATGCAAAGAAGCAGCGAAGACAGAGGAAATTCATTATCTCCTCCAGTTTCAATCCTAGCTATTTCCAATAGTTTACTCATGCTGTGGATTAACTTACCTCAGCAGACAGATCGCCAGGATAAAGAATCTGCAGGCTGTCTCCAGACTTGGTTTGGTACAAAACCAACTGGTCCCCTCGCTGACGGGCAATCACAGTCACCTTAAAGGAGGCAGAGGAACCAATCAAAGTGCTTTAGTTATTACAGCACAAGGGCCATAAGAGGCTAATTCCTAGAGAACCTAAAGATTTACCATGTCTGCTGGGCCCAGGTGGGATTTGTCTCCGCTCAGACCAGCATAGAAGAATGAAACACGAAGATCTCCCACCTGGAAATGGGGAAATCATCCCTAGTTAATAGAGATTTACTTCAACAAAAATTCTCATTGAAGTCACCCTAAATGGGAACATCCTGGGAGTACGCTGTGCCATAAAGCTTTGCAGCAGCATATGAGTCAACTGGGTATGATTCCTGGGGTGTAATTCTGCCAGGCTGGGTTGGCAGAAAGGGAGGGCTGCAGAGATAGCAAAGCTCATGTCCTGAAGAAGAACAAGCTCTATGCCACTTTCTCCTCTGGCTGATTTAGGAATGGCAAGGATGGGCCACCAAACAGAGAGTCACAGCTAGCTCTCCTCAGCTGCAGGGAGTGCTAGCTAGTAGTGACCTGGCTCACTCATTCTTACATTTAGTACACTTGCACTCAGCAAACCTAATTGAGACGGATCAGTAAGTCAACAATGAAACCCACCTATGTGAAAAGAGCAGTTGCCCTGCTCCTGTTTCTTTCCATTTAAAAGTGTCTTCTTAGCCTATTAGTCTAACATGCAGGAAGAAGATACTCAAGAAGAGAAACAGAAGGGTGAGTGGATCAGAAGCTCCTTTCCTACACAGAAATTAATCACTCTTCCAATAGCCCTGCAGCCACAGTTAAGTTGGCAAGGTGCTCAACACTACGACTTCCATTTATTTCACTGGAAAATGAAAGTGGTGTGCAACTTGCAAAACAAAACTCTACTTTTTCTTCAGTAAACCGATTTTAGTTGCTGCCTTGATGGTCTTTTTGCAAGGCCCCTTCATCTTACTTCTGGACGCCCGGGATTCTCGCTGTGATAAAAGTAATCTCCTCTTCGAGTAATGTCAGCATGTGGATCCTCCAGTTTCGACAAGCTCATCTGCTTAAAACTGTCAATTTTTTCAATAAGACCTAAGCAAAATAAAGACCCAAACGTAGGTCTTAGGTGACACATTGACTTCAGGATTCATTTTGTTAGCATTAGATAGCCATTTAAAAATTTGCTATCCCAAGAGATAATGACCCAAAAGCCATCCCCACTGCAACTCCAGTGAGCTTAACAGTGTAATACCAGGGATGTATCTGAACCAGCGTGTGTTTGTTATAAGAAGTAAAACACAGCCCCTTACCTTTTGAAAGAAAGAAACTTCCCACCTGGACATCAGGGGCAATTGCAGTGAAAGATTCCACAGCCATGGCACTTGGAGAAAGAAATAATTGCAGTATAAATACCAGTACTATGAACACACTGTTGATCAACAATACACAAGAACATAAACTACTGTACCCATGCTGATAGAGACAAACCCCTGAGAGAGTACCAGGGAGTGAAATAGCTGCCATGATATAAAGATAAATACATTGTTAGGTGTTCAATAATAGGGCTATTAATAGTGTAAGATCAGAAGACGCCATTATGATCATCTGGTCTAATTTCTGCACAACACAGATTAGAGAATTCTACCATGTGATTTTTCACATCAAGCTCATAACTTCTAGTTGAGCTAGAGCATCTCTTCTAGAAAATCATTTAAAACGTCACATGATGAAGTGTCCATCAGATCCCTAAGTAACATGGTCCAAGCGTTAATTACCATCATGGTTAAAAAAAAATACATCTTATTTCTAAGACTGAATTTGCCTAGTGTTAGTTACCAGCCACTGGTTCTTGCTATGTTTTTGTGTCTGGTAAATTAACAAACTATTTTGTTGTAGGGTCACGGATGTTGCAGGTCAAGATTTACTGTTGTGATGTCCTGACAGGTCTCTGGCTCCATCGATAACCAGAAGGCTGCTTGCATGTATGCTCAATGATGTGTGCTGTGTTGACTTACACAATTAGTCACGACCACAGACCCCTAAAGACCACAAATCACATAAGGGTCAAAGGTGCCTGACCAGGTTTATTGTTAAGTGAAATACAGTAATACCTGTATTTAGACACTACCTCAGGGCTACTCAATTTCAGAAGCCCTAGGGGCCACAATGACACTCACAGCACATGCTGAGGGCTGCAACTTAAGTGTGTTTGCATATACATGCAAATATATGTAAATAGCTTCTCTCTCACTGACAAGCATGAATACAAATAAGGCAAGACTATACAACACACAGGCCCCATTTAAGTCAGTTCTGCTGATATTAATAAAATGCAATAGTTACCCAATTTCCACACATATGACAGCACTTTTAATGAGCAGTGTTAGTCCAGGAATTTAACTACTAAAACACATATCAATAGAAGACCATTATATTGATTTGCCATTGTGGAGCATGTTCCCAGTGAGGCCATGTTCAAAGGATCCCACCTACAGGTCACGTGTTAAGCCCCACAAAAACCCAAATTGCACCGCAGGCCACAAACAAGTGGACCACGGGCCGCATACAGCCCACAGGCCACTTGTTGAGTCGCCCTGCTCTACCGAACCATTTTGTAACAAAGGACACAGCTCAACCTGTGGGAAACCCCACTGCCCTCCCACCCTGGCTGGACAAAGACTGTTCCTTAAGACACCACTTTATATACAGATACAAACAAGTTTCACATCACTCCTGACTTGTCAGGTTGCCACCCTCAGACACTACTTAGATACCACCCATCAGCCTGTATCTCATGGTTTGATTAGATCATCTCTATCCATTCTGCTCTCATGTTAGACCCTTTCCTGAAGCTGGGTCTGTATCTGTATCTGTGGGGAGTATGGTTATCAAGGTTTTTTTTAATGACCTGGTTTTATCATCCTTTTGGAATGTGCTTTCAACATATGACCAGTACCAGTTACTGGTCTACACCTGGGCCCATTACCAATTAGTGTTTTGCACACTCAGCCCTGTTTGTGCCAAGTTCTGAGAGCAGGGGCCTGCCTCTTACTCACAGCTAAGCTTTACTTTATGTTAGCCAAGTGTCGTCCATTGTTAGCTGGGCCTTAGACCTCAAACCAAGCCTGTGGTACTACACCTTTATCAGAAATCTTTCCAAGTTGGTACTAAGCCAGGATCAAGTCATACTAGTAGCTGAAGCCCCAGCAGTTGTGCAAACACATATGGTTAACTTTACTAGCATAAATAGTTCTACTGATTGCTTTTCTACCATGAGTTAACAACAAGCATAAGTATTTGAAGGATCAAAGCCCAAGATACATAGAGAGAACACCCTACAAAAGAATAAATTCAAAGGTCATATTCTCTCTCTCCAAACTGTTTCTTAAAATTTGACAATCTGCTAATGAATCAATAACACACTCTGACACATTTAGAACTGATTTGCAAGGCACACATTCTCATCAGAAAGGCATGAACTGTAAATTTTAGTGTTCATATCAGTGAGTTTGAGCCAGGTATGTATTAATTTACAAGGGCATTCACAGCATATGGCTTGCACCATTTAATTCCTTGCTGCTACATATTTTATTGTTGTTCTTGTGGCAGCGGTAGAAGCAGAATGTGATTTTTTTCAGATAATTTTCATGATAGATCTGGTTAGAAAACGTCAATACAAATAGAGGAAAAGTAACATCTAACAGTCCCTCCGTCCTGCCATGTGTTGTGACCAGCTCTGAGTTATCTGCATTGTTCAGGGTGCCAGTTAGAAATATATTAAATATATATAAAATAAAATTCTCCTTGCAGAAGAATGCTTCAGTTTATGTGACATTCATGTAAGTCCAAACCTTCAAACCAGAGATGTACAATTTCTGGAAAACCCCAAATGCTCTTTTTCCCACCTGCCTTTATAGACTTTCTTATTTGCATGACAACTCTTTACCACTTTGCACCACTTGAAGATGCTCAGATACTATTACCATAGTGTTAGAAGCATGTGAACCAGGACCCCATGGTGCTTGGCACTATACAAACAACTCAAAAAGAAGGTCTATGCTCCAAGGATCTTAAAAGAATAACCCAAAAGTTAATAACTCAGTAAGTCAAAATGTGGCAGCAGAGAGTAACTAAAAATAAATTATGCCTAGAGTGATTGACACAAACAAATCTGTGATCTGGCATATGCACTGGTAAAAGATGCATGCACTATTGCATCTGGCATGACAATCACATGGTATGTCGTTCTATAATCCATCAGTGAAGATAGTTATTAGCTATAATATAAATAATTTAATCTTGGCTCCACAGTTGATTCACTTTGTGTCCCTGGGCAAATCCCCTCCTCTGCCCAGTCTGTACCTCAGTTTTCCCACATATAAAATAGCAATAATTTTCCACCTACCTCACGGAGTGTGTCAGGATCTGTCAGTTAGCATGCATATCAAATTCAGGATAGAATTACCTGGGGTTTTTATGGCCAATCTCTCGATCAAAATTTCTGCTGTTAACAACTTCTGATTTCCATTCAGTGTCTAAGGAAAATATGAGCAAAGTTGGGGAGAGAAGTCAAAAATACTAAAATCCAAGAATGTTCCGCTTAAACGCCACAAAGGGCGGTGGCAAGTTTTAGGCAAGATGCTGTCAACTTGCAGTAACATTCTTTTCACCAAGATGTATACTTAACAAGGTGCCACATACACACCTGCAATTCAGGATGATTTTATATAGGAATGGAAGGATTTAAGGAAAGAATACCCAATGTGAAACCCTGGCTCCACTGAAGCCAATGAGATTTCTGACACTGAGTTTTGTGGAGCCAGGAGGATTCTCCCCCTGGATCCCATCACTGGAAGATTTCTGGCTGGCTGAGAAAGAGATAGCAGTTCTGCTAGAACAAGCTGGTTCTGTGTGGTGATACAGCAAGCAAAGAGGGATAGAGGCCCCACTAGAACACAATGTTATGCTACTGCCTTCACCACAAAGAATACAAAGCATCTTCTTGAGAGTCTCAGACCTGGCTCTGGCAACTTCCTTCTTACTCCTGAAGTGTTATAATCTCATCTCTCTTTTTGTGCAGTTCAATCTGCTAAATAAGGAAAACTCCCTATGTTTCCATGCAAAGACAAAGTAAGGAATCCATATTAAAAGCTGAACCTGTGTGCTGGCATAGAATTCTTTCATGTTCTGACAGCTATTGGCTGGAACACATCAGTCCAGTCTATGTGAGCTCCCTTCTAATGTAGGGCAACTCCTTTAGCTTGCAGCTACTAGTTCTGGTCCTGATATATCTCCTGATCACAGAGCACTGTATTCCAACAGGCCAATGGTATTTTTTAGACGTCATGCACATGGATTGGTACACACCCACATTACATACCCATTTGCTTGAATCAGAGACAAATAAGGTTCAGAAACTAATCTCCTGAGATGTGATGACTCAGAGGCAGAGTATGTGTTTTCTACTCACAATAAGAGAAAACTAATCCTCTCTACTACCTCTGCCAGAGAAGCATTTGGCAAAAACTGTAAGGCATATCCAAAAGGTAGACGCACTCAAGATACTGGGTGTTTCTATTGGCTGATACTAGTGTCTTAGGGGAGGGAGGGAGGGAGGAGAGGGAGAGGGAGAGGGAATGTGTACAAAAATATACACAGTATGAAGTACACACAGCACTCCTCCCCCAGTCACCCACTCAAACTATCCAAGGCTGAAGACAACTTTGGGATGGCTAGGTTATTTGTGATCAGGGTCCCGGTTCAGTCCCCATCTCTATCTGATAGAAAAATGTGTCTACCATTTGCTAAGGGAGCAGGGAATTAATCTGTTCCTGTTCCTCCAAACCCCTTTCCTTTCTTTCAAGCAGGGCATTATAGGACTTAATTTTTAAATCAGCATGAAAATTTCATTTTGAATTCAAAGGGGGAGAAGTGTTTTTGTACTGTGAATTGATCAACTTACTATACGAATATCTTGTTTCTTTCTTAACTTCACCATTCTCCTCATATTCTCTGTAGGAGAAAACGCAGAGGATGAAGATCAAGACAGGGCCCACTACATAGATAAAACTTTCAGGAAGCCAATCGGAAACTAACCACTAGCCAAAATTATCTTTATAATGATGTGAATGTTTTCCTAAACAACAGATGATCAACATCAAGGTCATGTTGACCACACCATGCCCTTCCCTTATAGCTAACTGGAAGGGAGGAGTCCATTAGATTAGTGGGGGGCGCCTGCCCCAATAGAGGAGAGACTGAGAACTGCTGCCCTAAACCAAGGACTCCTATTACCATGAGCATCATTTTAGGTACAGTTATCTTATGGCAGGGTGTGGAGTACACACTAGGGATGTGAAGGTTTAACCAGTTAACTGGTAAGCCTCACCATTAACAGGTGAGGCTTACTGGTTAAGGTTAACCTGTGTGTCTGAAGCAGCTTTCTGACTAATTCAGAGGCAGCAGCACTGGGGTGAGGGAGTTCCCCAGAAGCTTAAAAGCCGGCTACCCATATATACCAACTCTCACCAGCCTGCCCACCTGCATAGCAGAGGCAGCAACACTGGGAGGAGTGTGTATGCATGTAACTGTGCATGTTAAACGATGAACCTAGTTCACGTGTACACGGTTACTTTCACATCCTTATTCAATACACTGCAGCTAGACCTTGCACTTAAAATTAAGACATCAGGAGCAAATGCTTAGAAATTATGGGCTTGATCCTGCAAAATAATCAATGCAGGGCAAAGTCCTAAGCAAAACAGAGCCAAAGAGATCCCTGGATTTCAGCAAGGTTCCACAGGGGTACACTCTCATTGATCAGTCTGTACGATCCTTAGTGCCACTTTTAAATTGATTTCTATACTTTTTACAAAAGTGTATTCAACTGTTTTAGTAAGTTATTAAAAGTTAAGCATATATGGCTTCTATTGTCATTGTCTTCAACAAATAAATGTTCCAGAAGCTTATGAAATTAAATCAGAAAACAGAACATTAAAGTCACAGCAGTAGCTTAGATTTCAAAAGGTCTGATATTAGCTTATTGGTGGAGTTGGGGGAGGAATATTTCACATACTGGTGGAGATTGGATTCTTTTATACTCTAATACTGCAATGGTGTCTACCTGTACAAAGTTCATTATAGGACTGAGGCTATAACCACCAAAACAAAATTAAATGTAGGAAAAAATAAATAAAATCTCTGTAAAAACTCAAGGGTTCTGTGGTCATCATGTTACAAAATAAATTTTTAAAGGTTACAGAAAAAGTTAATCACCCAGCACATTTTCCATAAATTGCAATTGGATTCTGGTAAGAAGTCAAAATAATGAGCCTATGACTTACTTGGAGTCTTCATATTCTACCCACTGGTACATTTCCACCTGACGTTTCAGTTTGACAGCCCGGATGGAAAGCCCATAGCTGGGATCAAACAAGGGCTATTAAAATATAAATAGAATACAAATCAGTCTAAAAAGTGCATCTCCCTCAGATAAATCCAAACTGCACCTTTTCATTGATTCCAGCAGAGCAGATACTTGTTAATCTATCTTAGAGAAACCTCACTTCATTGTGATAAAAAACAAAAAGGGTTTAATGTAAGATTTTTCCCTTAAAAACATTCCAAGTTAAAAAGTAAGAAGAAAAATGTCCCTGGTGACATACAGCAAGACTGAGGATGGAATAAAAGTGTAAGAATGCATCAGCACAGTTATTTCTACTGCATAACTTTTCATCTGAGGATCTTGAAGAATTTCATGCACGTTAAGCTTTCCAAAATCACATGTGACAAAAACCTATCTCCATTTTGTTAATGAGATATATTTAGCATGGTCAAAAGTGTGAAATTCCATGAAGTCACAGAGACATCTCAGTGATGGATAGGATGTATAAACCTTAAAAGACAGGGTATACACCACTCTATCTGCTTACAGGTGAACTCAAACTGAAGAATCTGAGAAAGTTAAGTAATTGGCTCACACTTCTGGCCACTATTGCATCACACGCTCTCTTGCAAAAAAAATTAACTATGAAGAGCATCACTATCTCTCGAACACGCAGAAGATGTACAGCTTCAGCACTTGGTGTCTTCACAAATGCACAGCTGGATTCCAAACATACACCATAAGAAAGGGGAGGAACATTTTTGGATGGAAGATTTACAGCCCACAATAATATTTTATATCAAGCGTGTACAGTTTCAATTTGCCAGTGAAGAGTTTTCCCTCCTTTTAGTTCATGCATTATTTTCAAACCAACTATTGTTTAATTACCTTTGATGTTTTAAGGGCACCTGACAAGTGCACTAGTTTTCCCTCATTCTGTTGAGACATGCTGAAAATATTGTCAAGAGAGACTACAAGAGAAAGCCCCTCATCGAGGGAAGTGGCTGTCTTCAAGGCTCGTCCCTGTAGTCAATTAAAAAAGAGACAAAACAAAAATTAAAAAAAAAAAAAAAACCCACACATGTGGAGGTACCAACAGTGCCACTTTGTTAGTTTAATACCAGATGGGGCACAGCTTCCATGAAGTGCTAGTAGGTTATATGCAATAGGCAAAACCTAAGAACACATCTGCACTTCCCATCTGTCACAATTTTATGTCCGATACTTTAGAGAGTAGTACTTATTTGTGAAATTAAGAACACTGACCTTAATGGATCTACTCATGTGCACAGGGATTATCCCACAATCTCTTACTCGTGGGAGTAATCAGGCTAGCAAAAACAGGTGGCACGCTTAAAAAAAACCACACCACTCGCATAGGTAGTTCTACTGAAGCAAATAGAACTAGAGATGTGAACATGTATGTGTTTACACAATTAATCCTAACAGTTACATACACAGCCCTCCCTCTCCCCCCACCACTACTGCCTCCATATCAGAGGTGGAGGGAAAGGGGCAAGGGAGCCAGCTTTTAAGACAACTCCCCTTGTGTACCAGCTTCCAGGGAGCTGCCTCCTCCCCTGCATTGCTGCCTCCCAGAGGCAACAGCATGAGGTGAGGGGGAGGTAAGTACCAGTTCCCATGGAGCTGACTGCCTTCCTGCACTTTTGCCTCTGATATAGAGGGTGGGGGGGGAAAGAGGGGCAGGTGAGAAATGGTGTTTCCAGGGAAACCAGCTTAAAAGCCAGCTTCCTATGAGCACCAGCTCCCACCTACCCCACTCCCATGTAAACATGTAACTGCTGTAAATGTCAGTTACACGTTTACAAAAATAAACACTTAACATCCCTAAGTAGGTAGAACTGCTCCTGATTCATACCAGCATGAGAGTGCAATACATGTAATAATCACGCTGACTTTAATGGACGTTACAGGCACATCGAAGTTGCAGGCTAAGCCCCTGAAATTATTCCTTCACACTTTGTATCTTACCTGTTGTTTTTGAGTAACTGCACTGAGGTGGCACCATTGTGAACTTGTTCCACTGTCTGACTGTTCTGATTTAGTCTAACAATTTTCCCCCTTATCTTCAGATTATAGGACAAGAAACAATCTCCTAAACCTGTGAACCGTTTCCTTCTTTCATCTAAATAGCAATGGTCAGAAAACTGATGAAAATCTGAAATTAAATTTCACAAAATTCTGCTCCCACCCCAAATGTTCCAACCAGCTTTAACTAGAAATACCACCAGGATAACAGATTACAGCCTCAATCCCACAAACTCTTATGCATGCACTTAACTTTACTATTACAAGTAGTTCTGTAGATTTTAATGGGACTCTTCAAAGTAGTAACGTTGAGAACATACATGTTTGCAGGATCAGGACCCAAGATCATCCTAGGAATGAACTAAAAGAGACAGTTTGACCTAATGCATTAAATAACTTTAAGATAATTTATCTGCCTTGCAATATACCAAGAGAATGAGGATGCAATGACAGTGTAAAAACCTCTGCTCATTGATAAGCTGTTTTCTGAGACCAGTGAAACAAGTCAGCCAGACAACCTATGATTCCCATATTCAATAGTGATTCATTCTGTGTTTCAGCTCCATCCTTATTACAACTGTCTCTGCTGTGCAGCAAGAAGCAGAATTTACAGACACAAATGAGGTGCACTAGCACATAAGACGCATGCAAGTCCATACAAACACTTCCAATCACCAGAGGGGTAGACGTGTTAGTCTGAATCTGCAAAAACAACGAGAAGTCCTGTGGCACCTTATAGACCAACAGATTGATTGGAGCATAAGCTTTCATGGCAAAGACCCACTTCATCAGATGCATGTAGTGGAAATTCCAGAGGCAGGTATAAATATACAGGCAAAAGACAAAAGTTCCAATCAAGAGTAAGGTTAGAGATAAAGAGGTCAATTCAGTCAGGGAGGATGAGGCCCCCTTTTTGCAGCTGATGTGGAGGTGTGATCACCAAGGGAGGAGAAACTGCTTTTGTAGCTGGCTAGCCATTCAGTCTTTGTTTAATCCTAAACTTCTAATCACATTTTTCAACTGCTGTTAACCCATTTTTCTCACCACTTCCCAATCAATCCACTCCACTGCCAATGGATCTCATCTTATTCAGATATATCCTATCAGTACTCTCCACTCAGTTCTAGATGAAACCTGGAATAGGTTCAGCAACATGATGATACAAATATTTAGGAAGAAGACTTTTATCTTGAAGAGCACTGAACTTTGGGCATAAAGGCGAACATACACTTGAAAAGAAATTCAAAGGTTAATAGAAATTCAAAGGTTAATAGTGTTTCACTTACCTCATTGGTAAAAAGAAGGTAAAAAGAGAGACAAAATGCTGAGAGCCCAATTAGCATCCCTCCAGAAGTTTCACTGAGTCGCTCCAGAAACCCTGGCTTGGGCTCACTTGTGATTTTAACATGTTCTTTCTTGCCACTTATGTCAGAGAACTGGTAAAGAAAAAAGCAAACATGAAATAACTTCGTAGCTCAGGCAGAAATTGCTCTGCCACTCATCAGGGCCCACTGTTAAAAAGTTACGTCTCCTGAATTGAAGCAAACCGGATCTCTCTCCCAGTTAAACATGTCTCATCTCACTTTTATTGCTTATAATTATTTATACAAAAAACCCAACTGTAAATGAACTGAGGTTTACTGGATGAGATAATTTACACTGTAATAGTCCAGCATATTTTTTAAACTTTCCAGAGATATGCTTTGCTAGGTTTCTCATTTTGTGTCAATATCCTATATTTGGTCTTTGGCAGGCTAAATTATATTTCTGGTACCCCTACCATATAAAAATGGAGCACTTTACTGTGATATTTTATAGTCCTATGAAATAATTGACAACATTTTTCAAAAAATAAAGTGCTATGTCTCCCTTATGAAGCATCCTGGGCAATAAATGGCTTTGGCTGATTGGATATAAACCAGTGGTTCTTAACCTTACTGCAGCCTGCACCCCTTTGCTTCTTAAAATGTTCTTGCGCCCCCTATTAAAAATCGTTGAAGTAGGTCAGTTTTAAACCTAAGATTTATCATACAAATCTGGCATGTCTCGCACCCCCAGAAAAGGCGTCTCGCACCCCCAGTGGGTGCGTGCACTCCAGCTTAAGAACAATTGATATAAACAAACATTACTGTAGTGCTGTCTTGCGACTGAAAGCGAGATACTATTGAAGTGGAAAACGCAGTAGGTGCTTATTTTGGCGGCGGGGAATAACAAGAAACAGTCTTGGAATTGCCTTGGGGAGCTAAACAAGATTTACAGAGCTGGGTTTTTTTTAGAAAATAAGAAGGGAGTGACCATCTCCCACCCCTTTCTGTTCCAATCTGGGCATTGGCTCCAGACAATGTTTATACCCTACATGCAACTGCCCCTTAAGAGCCACACGGGCTTCCCGGAGCCTCAGGAGGCATCTACCCGGGTGAGACCCAACACGGGAGAGGGAGCAGGCGAGGAGCGCCCTGCCCGGGAGGGAGAAGCAAGCAGCGGGCAGGGGCGAACCGGGAGCGGGGTCGCAGCGCTGCAGGACGGTAGCAGGCTGGGTGCGGGGCTCTCACACTTACATGCCCGGACATGTTCAGCCGCAGCCAGGCTAAGGCAGCAGGTACAAACCCCGAGCGTAGCCGCTAGAAAGTTGCCGCCCAAAGGCCACGCTGTTGCACTGAACACCCTGGCCCAGAGCAGCAACTCCCCAGGGCGAGGCATGCTGGGAAATGTAGTTTCTGGTTTTGTCTCTGTGGGAGCATGCCGGGAAATGTAGTTTCCCAGCTTGCCCGCTGTGGGGCATGCTGGGAAATGTAGTCCGCGCCGCTGCCCTAGCGAATCCGAGCTCTGACAGCCGCTCGCTCTCTTCAGGACGCGACGAAGGACTGTTTCCGAAGGAAACGCGGCAAAACGCAAAGCACGCTGGGATAGGCAGAAAGGTGACCCCTAAAGCTCCCGCTCTCTGCGGCTCCTCGCGCTGAGCGGCGACCGGTAGAGGGACCCCGCTTCCCAGCCATCCGGGTCTTGAGTGCGGCTCTCAATCAGGCGCGGCAGGGGGCAGCCCCCTCCTCCCGGGGTCCTTCCGGGTGCAGGGTGAGAGGTCGCAGTGTGGCGCGCGCCGGCTGCTGCTGCTGCTTCAGGGGCTGGCGGGTACGGACGGGTCGCTGGCGGGGTCAGTCAGGTCAGTCGCCGCGGGCCGGAGCTGCGGAGAGACCAGCCCATCCCTCACCATGTCCTACTGCAGGCAAGAAGGTGCGCGGCAGGGGGAGGGGCCGGCCCTGAGGGGGTCCGGGCGCCTGGGTGAGGGGAAGGGCTCTGGGCAGGTGGGGCCGGGCCGGTGGGGGCTGCGGGCTAGTGGCGGCGGGGGAGGCCTGGGGCGGTGGGGACAGGCGACGCCCTGCAGAGCGCCCGCTAGCCTCGCGGGGTTACGCAACCTGGACTCCGCCGCCCGGCTTGGCCTTGAGGGTTCGCGCGTGTCCCGTCTTCGTGCTTTTACCCTTCTCGAGCATGGCAGCGAGGCGCGTCTCTTGTGACAACGACGTTGAGTCGCCTCATTCTAGCAGGTGCGGTGTTAAGAAAGACACCAAATATCATGAGCAAAATGCAGGACTATGCAGCACTTCAAAGACTCACAAGATGGCTTATTAGCTGATGAGCTTTCGTGGGCCAGGCCCACTTCCTCAGATCAAAAAAAATATCATGAGGTTTGTGATATAATAATGAGTTGACCACACAGTATGTGGAACTGAGTGGCACGAAATGTCATTTCGTGCCTATGAAACTCTTAGCCTCAGTAGGGACGAGACACGCATACACATGGTAAAAAGAAGCAGTTCTGCTAGAATGTAGAATAGCAATAGAGATGCAGCCCTGTTAGTAATTAAAACCCTTGTGCTGTGTATCATAAACCAGTTTATAGCTGGAGTTAAGTAAGAACATTATCCTCAGGACATGTTAAACCATAAGGGCTCATCTGCATGGTGTTTTATGGGTCTTGAGTGAATTCTGAAGCTTTCCACCAACCTGTCTTACGCATTTTAGGATTCAAACCCCTCTACATATTATTTTGGCATTTAAAAAAAAAATGTCTTGGAGTGTGATACAGGCCCTGTATAAACTGGTATAGCATCATTATCAAGACAATTATATTATATTGTTAATTATAATAGCTGGGATTAGAGTTTAGGCACTCCTTGTTAATAACACAGCTAATTACGAGACCTAAATCATAGACTGTAGTGCTAGAGGAACCTCATTGTCACCAAGTCAAGATCTTGTTCTGTGACAGGACCAAGTCAGTCAAAATCATCCAACCTGATTTTAAAAACTTTCAGTGATAGAGATTCCATAACTGCCCTTGGAAACTTAATCCAGAGTTTAACTACCCTTGCAGTTAGAAATATCTAACCTAAATCTCCCTTGCTGCTAATGAATCCTGTTATTTCTTGTTCTGGCTTCAGGAGACATGGAGAACAATTGAGCAAGAGCATATAACAGCCATGAACATATTTGAAGATTGTTATCAGGTTCCCCCCTTCAATCTTATTTTTTCAAGACTTACCATGCCCATTGTTTTTTAACCTTTTCTCTTAGGCCAGGTTTTCTAAACCTTTTATCATTTTTTGTTGACCTCCTCTGGATTCTCCAATTTGTCATGGTCATTTTGGTTTTTAATTGTGCCCTTCCAAAAGCTTGTAATCCCTCACAGTTTGGTGTCATATGTAGATTTTATAAGCATGCAATCCACTCCATTATCCAAGACATTAATGAAAATAATGAATTGTTCTGAATCTAGGTCCAACCCCTTCAAGACACTGCTAGAAATGCCCTCCCAATTTGACTACTTTTTTATAACAATCTTTCAACTAGTTGTGCAGTAACTTTAGTGTAATTTCATCTAGACCACATTTTACTTGTTTGCTTATGAGAATTTCAGGTGGGATTGTGGCCCATGGACCCTACCAAATCATAGCATTTTAAAATTCTTATATTTCATGTTATCAGACATTTTAAATCGGAAATTTCACAATGTTATAACTTTAGGGGTCCTGACACAAAGTATGTGCATGTGTAGGCAGGCTATTGTAGGAGGGCCACAGTATTCCCACCTTTACCTCTGAACTGTTGCTGGCAGCAGTGCTGCCTTCAGAGAGTGGTGGCTGGAAATGGCAGCTGCTGGATGGGTGCCCAGTTCTGAAGGCAACACCACTGACAGCAGCAATGCAGGAGTAAGCATGGCATGGTACAGTATGGCATCCCTTGCTTCTGTGGTACTGATGGAGGTGGGTCTGATCCAGCCCCAGGAATGGCCCATGCAGGGGAAGAGGAAGTCTCATTCCTTACAGCCCATCCAAGGCTAGCTGCTGGAACCAGAGCACCCCAATTCTGCTCCTTCCCAACACTCAGGGGTCAAAGGGCCCTAGAGCTGGCTGTATGTGGTAGAGGGGAGGAGGATGACCATGTTGCCCACCCACAAGGCCAGTTCTATCATCACCCTCAGAAGTGACGCCCCTCCTCAGAGCATGCCACATTCACTTCTGTACTGGTGCTGGTGGCACCACTGTCTTCAGAGCTCAATGCCTGGCCAGCAACCACTATTCTCTAGATGCCCAGCTCTAAAGACAGTGCAGAAGTAAGGATGGCAATACTGCAACTTCCCTGCACTAGTCTGGTTTCATGGATGAGATCAGATTTCACAGTCTGTGATATTTTTCACCATCAGGAATCTGGTAGGGCCATATGCATCACAGATACTGCTTCACCCGGTATTCATTAGACCAATCAAGGAAGGAAATTAGGTTGTTTTGGCATGATCTGTTCCTGAAAAAAATCCATGCTGGCTATTTCTTATAACACAGTTATCCTGAAGATGCTTAAAAATTGATTAATAATTTGTTCCAGTATTATTTGTGCTGCAAAGTTTGCTTTAGAGGGAGAGTTTGCAGTGATGCATTCTACAGTGTTTGAAATAGCATAGAATTGCTACAGAGAGGCTTCACATATTTAGCTTATATGTCCCGGACACATTGAAATGAATATTAATTAATATGGCACCAAACAAAAGAGAGGCTACTGTGTATCCCCCTTTTTCTTCTCTCCTAAATGAAAGATTAATTCCCCAATGCTGTGCATTCATAAGTATGTGTGTGTTTGGGTTGTTTTTCCCAGGCATGAAGCTTTCAACCCATCCTTTTGGAAGAATATTCTGCAGTCTCATAGACTTCAGTTAGGAAAATTTTACCCTGATCATTATTAGGTAATACGGAGGCAGCAGCTTGGGGTGGCAGCAACTCCTGTCCATGGGGGGGACTGGCACAGAGCAGCCTCTGTCCATGGTGAGTCTGGGCTGCCACAGACAGTCTGCTTTGTGGCACTTTCCTCCTCCCTGTGCTGCTGCCTCTGAGGCAGCAGAGGAGGGCAGGCAGCACTGCAGAGCTGGTGCTTGGGGGAACCAGCTTTTATTGGGCTCCTCCAGCGCCAGTTCCTGCCACCCACCTGCTGTCTCTGTGTTCATGGTGAACAGGCTTTTTAAGCCACTTCCTCAAGGGCACCTACAGAGGCGTGAGTAGGGGGGAGATGTGTGTAGTCGACAAGCCCTGGCTTATTGGTTAATCTTATTGGTTAATGTGTAGTCATCTACATGCTGATGTCCCTACTCTGTACCCCATTAAACACTTGCTACTTTTGCCATTTGTTGGTAGCGTTTGTGCCCCTTTAGCCAACTGAGTCCATTTGATGGTGTTGCTATCTAAGCCAGATTTGAAGTCATAGTCAAGATTGCCTGAAAGTGCTACTTGCTCTGTAGTAAATTACCTTCCATGCATGCTAGAAAGATACTTCTCTTCTGAAGAGCAGTAATTCTAGATCACCTTGACAGTAGCTATACATGTCAAGATAAGACTCATTGCAATAAATGCTTCAAGGCATAATATAAACTCCTTCCTAACCCCTGTGGGGTCTGCTGCCCAACATCATCTCCAGCTCCAAATGTACAACACTATGCAACTCTATTCAGTAATTTACACCCTAATAAAATCTGGCTATAATTGATTAGATGCATTATGGGGTTTTCTAGCTTCCTCTTTTGGAAGAAAAATATTGGAGTATGTGGATTAATGATGTGATGTGGTACATAGTTTCTTAGAAATTGACTGGTCATTGTTTTTTCTATGCTAAACTTTAATAGTGATAGCTAGTTCATATTTTGAAAGACTATTAAAAAAAAGAGAAACTCATCTGGTGTTTGATGTGTGGGAAAGATCACCTGTTGGAAGCTGGTTTCTTTGCTTTTAAGTTGTTGCATCTGCAACAAGTGCAGATGCGGTTTTCAGATGTTTTTAGCATGGTGTCTTCTTATGGCTCTGACCTTTACAGTTCATCTGACATTAGCCAAAACAAACACATTTTGCCATTTTATCTGTTGTGATATATCCCAGCAGAAATTCTGTCTTTATGCATCAAGAGAGTATGATTTGGTTTATGCCCTTTCTGACTAATAAGACACTAAAACCCATGGTGCAGAAACTAAATGAATGTGCATCTGTCTTCACAACTGAAGATGTTGGATAGATTCCCAAACATGAGCCAATCTTTTTAGATGACAAATCTGAGGAGCTATCCCTGATTACGGTGTCAGTAGAGGATGTTTTGGAACAGTTCGATCAACTGAACAGTAATAAGACATGAGGACCACATGGTGTTCATCTAAGAGTTCTGAAGGAACGCCTATGTGAAATTGGATAACTACTAACCTGTGTGTGTAGCCTATCATTTAAATTGGCTTCTGTATCAGATGACTGGAGGATAGCACATGTGATACCAATTTTCAAAAAAGACTCGAGATGATTTCGAAAATTACAAGCTAGTAAGTCTAACTTAAGTATTAGGCAAATTTGTAGAAACTTTAAGAATGGAATTATCAAGTACATAGGTGAACACGATTTGTTGGGGAAGAATGAGCGTGGCTTTTGTAAAGGCAAATCAGGCCTCTGCAGACGACTATAATTCTTGAAGGGGTCAACAATCATGTGAAAATGAGTGATCCATTAAATACCGTGTACTTAGATTTTCCAGAGATCCTTTGACAAGTTCCCTCTCCAGAGGCTCTTAAGCAAAGGATAATAGGGAAGGGCCTCTCTTGGGTTAGTAACTAGTTAAAAGGTAGGAAACAAAGGGGCAAAAAAAATTGTCAGTTTTCAGAATGGAGAGAGTTAAATAATGGTTTCCTCCAGGAGTCTGTCGTACAGGTTGGCCCTCCATGCCGTGGCACCCTCGGGACCTGACCAGTCCTGAATCAGGGATTTTGCAGAACCAGTGAAGCTTCCCAGCTACAGCCTCTAGCTGCCAGCTGGGGATGGGTGGGGTCACTACCTCTACCCCTGTGAAACTCTTGTTAGAGGATGCTGTGAAGCAGGGATGTTTGAGTGTAAATGTCTAACCGTTTAACTGATAAGTGAATGCTTATTGATTAACAATATATGTTACACTCAGCGAAGCTGCCTCCCTGGGAACTGGGCTAGTAGGGTCTGGTGGTCCTGCTCCCAGGAAGCTAAGCTTTATACTGCAGGTGGAATCGCTGAGATTTTTAGTGGTTACACAATTATCCCATTACATTATTTTTAACATCCCTACTGTGAAGGCCAAGACTATAACAAGGTTAAAAAAAGAACTAGATAAGTTCATAGAGGATATGTCCATCAGTGGCTAGCAAACTATGTTTTGAAGTACAGGCAGTCCCCGAGTTACGCGGATCCGACTTATGTCGGATCCACAGTTACGAATGGGGTTTGCTCCGCATCTCCCTGGTCTGTTGGAGACCAGCAGACCAGGGAGACGGGGAGCAAAGCCTCGGAGGACGCCGGCAGCAGGACAGCCGCGGCGCGTCTGGGCTGTCCCGCTGCCCCCGTGCTCTGCAGCTTTGCTCCGGACGCCTGTGGTACAGCAGCTGGGGTGCTGCTGGGTTGGTCCCGTAGCTCCGCTCTGGGCGCTACTGGACCAACCGGGCAGCACCCCAGCTGTTCTGCCCCAGGCGTCCTGATTCAGCCACTGCTGGTCAGATTCAGCAACGGCTGAATCTGGACTCTAGTTCCGACTTACATACAGGTTCAACTTAAGAATAAACCTACAGTCCCTATCTTGTACGTAACAGAGTTGCTCTGCCCCGGGCTTCCTGGAATCAGCTGCTGATCAGTTTCAGCAGCAGCTGACTTGGGGACGCCTGGGGTTCTTAAGCTGAATCTGTATTTAAGAACTGGCGTCCAGATTCAGCCTGTTGAAACTGATCAGTGGCTGATTCCAGGAAGCCGGGGGCAGAGCAACTCTGCCTCGGGCTTCCTGTAGTCAGCCGCTGGTCAGTTTCAGCAAAGCTGAATCTGGATACCAGTTCCGACTTACATACAGATTCAACTTAAGAACAAACCTACAGTCCCTATCTTGTACGTAACCCGGGGACTGCCTGTATTACTAGGCCCTGCATGCCAGAAGCTGGGAATAGGTGATGGGATGGATCACTTGATGATTACCTGTTCTGTTCATTCCCTCTGAAGCCTCTGGCATTGGCCATTGTTGGGAAGACAGTATACTTGGCTAGATGGACCATTGGTCTGACCCAGTATGGCCCATTCTCATATCCTTATATAACTTTAATTCTGAAAGGTCTTTTAGTATAAATGATCCCTAATTTTTGTTGTTGTTCCTATGTGTCACCCTAATACAAATAATAGCGAGGCTCAGAGTAGGGATGTAAAATCCTATTTAAAATAGCTTAACTAGTTAAGCTATATGTTTAACCAGTTAAATGGCTCACCATGTTACTGGAGGTGGGGTCACTGGAGCAGCAGCCGCCCATAGCATGGCACAGGGGCTCCTCCAACACAGCCAGGCTGGGTGCCAGTTAACTGGTTACCCCTGGTAATCATGCTGGTAAGGTAGTGTTTACTGGGTAACCAGTTATTCCATTCCATCCCTAGTCTAGAGTAATTTCTAGCACCAAGTCCATGAATCCTAGCTATTGACTCAGAATTTCTGATAAATGGGCATCTATGGTAGCCTTGAATCCCTTCAGTGAGGACCCCTTTACATATACCTTAGCCCAAGTTCTGTTGCCTAACTGCTGTTATAAAAATATTAATATTTTTCCTAAATTACCTTGCTGTATCTTAAGCTCATTATGTCTTGCTCTGTCCTTGTTGATTAATCAGAACAATTGATCCCTGTCTTCATGCTCTCTTTTATGTATTCGTAGACAGTTATCCTGTCTCGCCTCTGTTATCATTTTGTACACTGTACATAGCCTGATTCTCTCAGTCTTTCCTTGTAGATCTTATTTTTCCAAACCTTTTTGTCATTTTTAGTGGCTCTCCTCTGAGCATACTCCAATTTGTCTTTTTTAAAATGCAGTTCCCAAAACCAAACACTTCTCTAATCGAAGCCTAACCAGGGCCAAGTAGAGCAGACTCATTAGCTCTTAAAATGAAGCATCTGTTTATGCACACAACAGTTCAAAAGCTTTTATTGTGCAGTGGCTTTGTAAATGGCTTGTTTTGTCTTGGCTTAATACTTTTTCTGAACTCTTGCTTTTTGCCTTCCTTAATGTTAGGAAAAGACAGAATTATATTTGTGACCAAGGAGGACCATGAGACACCAAGTAGTGCAGAACTGGTAGCAGATGACCCCAATGACCCTTATGAAGACCAAGGTCAGTAACGTTTGGTAAGAGGATGGTAAGACATATGTTTAATAATCTAATATATTCTTGTGGCTCCCATTCAAATTGGCAGAGTAGGTACTTAGCAGATCTCTAAAAGCTAGGTCAGTCTTTTTATTAGGGCAATACCATGAAATACGGATGTCAAATCCCATTTCAAAGTTAACTGGTTAAAGAGTGCTGCTTACCGGTTAACTCTTTACATCTCTACAATGAAACTTACTCTTAACTTTAATTTACTTCTTTTTAAACTATCACATAATTCTTGCCTGTATATCTATAGTTCATTTGACATTTTAGCAAACTAGCCACAAACGTTCTGTAATTCTACAATGTAGTTCGTTCTTAGAAACCAAAGAGAATTAATCATGTCTTGAACAGGTCTAGGAGTTTCATTCTATACAGTATCGTAGTGTTTTTCTAATTTCTTCATTCTGTATATTTTCTAATGGTCTCCTCTTTAGTCTCAACTACTTAAGTCCTTCCAAAACATTTAATTCTTCAGACTATCACATATGCAGTTTGACTGAGTGTCTTCAGGAATCCCAAATAGTGTGAAAGTGACTTACATCCTTGACCCTGTCATGTTTTGCACCCGGTATCCTATTTCAACACGTACTAAAATTATTTTCCTTCTCCTGTCACGTAATGACAACTCTAAAGGGATCTAGTTGTCACTAATGCATTAAGAGGCAAGTAACTTAACATTTGCAGTTTGGAACTCAAGTTTTCCAAAATATCATGCAAGATAAACCAGTACTGACGCTAAACAGTTCACATCTGCAAGTGAACAAATTTTAAGAACTCTCTGCTTTTACTATTGCTATTTATTATCATTTTGAGAGACAGGATAACATGGGATTAAGACTCATAAAATTGTGGTTGCCTTGGGCAAGTCATCTTTTTTTTCTTAAAACCAGTGAGTAAAATTCTTAGTTTATAGTCATGGTAAAAGCTGAGTGGATAGATTTTTTTTTTTTTTTTTGACTGAGGCTAATAAATGCCCATGAAAATTTAAGACTGGATTTGAAGTTTATTAGGTTACTTTTATGTTCTCCAGGCACAAAAGGCAACAGTTTGAAATATGAGTGCCAGAAGCTGGACCTAATTGGAAACAATCTCATTTTTTTTAGAGGTGCTGAGATTCATAGATCTCACTGAATTAGTTGGAGCTGTGGATGCTCAAGTAGCTCTAAAATTGGTCACTTTTATTTGGGTGTATAACTTCAGGAACTCCTGTTTGAAATTTGGCTTTAATGTCTACTTCAGTTTGCATGAATTGAGGAATAGTAGGTCTCAGGTTTTGTTGCCTCCAACTTTGATTGAGATTGAGCTAAGTTGTTTCTTTTCCCTGTTGGAAATCTCTTAAACATAAACTGTTTAGCAGAAACTCTGCCCCTAGCATTATAATTGGTAGGGGGCAGTATTAATGCATAATATAGCATCCAGAAAATCACAATGGTAATATTATGTTTACAAACAAATATACGGTACATAGTCTAATTTGAACCATTTTTTCCTGTATGTTTTCATACATTGATTTGAGCTAAAATGAGTACTTCACCTACCTACACAGATTCTGAACCTGTTTACAGCAGGTGTATCTGAACAGCTCTTCAACATGGATCCTTTGATTCTCGTAATGACCTAAATGAAAATGGGGACAAGGAAATAGAGAACTTTTATTACTTCAAATGCCACGTGTATGTCAGGTGAACAGACTTCTTTCAGATAGAATAGTAACTTATCAGACTCTGTTCTATAGCATAATTTATTCAAAGTTAAAAGTTTCTCTTGATTTTAGGTTAGTATGGTGAGAGATGTCTGTATCCTCATCTCTGTATCTCTTGGCCATCCCTCAGCTCACCCACTCAAGACTGCTGGAACCTATGAAGTGAAGCAATATTCTGAGTCATTGCTCAATAAGGATGGGATAGCATGTGTATGCTAGAAATAACATTTAAACCTTATATGTAGAATTGTTTAATTCAAGACATTATTAGAATTAGTCCAGTATCTGTGAATTCAAGACAGTGTTATGTTTAGGGCATAGGTATAAAGAACAGCCCATGTGGAAATTCTTGTGGAAGCTAGTAGTAAAAGATGATTAAACATAACTCCACAGTAACAGGTAAGTAGAAACAGACATTCATACACAGTACTTGATGATGCACCTCAGATACAGTGTTTAAAATAAGCTTAATTGGTTTTCTCAATATATGGGACTGGTAGGCTTGGTGTGATTGAGGTTAACCTTACACTCTGTCTGAGATGAAAAGAAATATCTGGTTTTCCCCCCTTAAACTTTCCTCTGTGTGTGTGTGTGATTTCAGAAAGATGTGTAATAGCTAAAGTTTAGTGTCTGTTAGTAGTTCCCTTAACCCTCGTATTTTCAGGCAGAATGTGTTATTGACTGAGAGCCTATGCTCAAACAGGAGATTTGGTGAAAACAGTCTGCACAATAAGATCTGACATCTCCACTTCGAGAGTAATGCAATTGCTTCTAAAGATTTCAGGTAGAATCCTCTGCTGGTCATAAAATCCATACTGTATTTGCATCTGTTGTCTTCTGCATTCATGTCCGTAAATACAACTTCCTTATTACAGAGAGGAGAATAGAGCCAACACCATTTACAAATAGTTCTGTAATACAGTTGACCTTTATATGAAAAGCACTTTCTAAGAGAAGAGTCTAACTGATCAGCCAGTTACTGTACTCTGTGGAAAAAACAATGAAGAAACATTTATATAGTGTCTCAAACATTTTTAGAAAAAATAAGTTTCAGTGTCTGATGTGAGTGATCTTTTTCATTAATCAAAATGATGGTGGTAAGAACCCAACTTTTTTCTGTCTTGGCTCTGGCTTCTCTCTCTTCTGTAAAACTAGACTGCCGAAAATACAGATCTTACCCTAACCTCACATTGGGAGAAAGTATAAGCCTTTGGAGATGTTGTGATGAACTATTAAAATACATTACATAAGTCATCTCGTGAGGTGTGTAACTGTACAAAATGTCTGCTGCTTATATTGGCAAATCCTTACATTGATGCAGTCCTGTGTTATAGGAGACTGATTTTAGTCTTTATAGTTATAATGGAAAGGTATTAGAAAACAGTGTCTTGGTAAATTTTTTTAAATGAGACTTCTGCTGTGCACTAGCTGTCAGTCATATCTTCAACAGGGACTTATTTAGTAATAAGGTGTGTGAATGTAAACTTCCCTTCTCTGAGTTGCAACAGTTAATTGTGTTTTTAGTTGTATTAATAATTATGGGCCAGCAAGCCAATCAGCAATGTATTGTCAGTGCCAGATGAAAAGAGGGAAGAAAAGTATCTCATGGCATTGGTGTGACGCAGAGCAGCCATGCAAGCGATTTAAACGTGAACATTTGTCAGCCGACGGTCAGGGCAGTGTGTATGTGCTATACACCCGAGACTTTAACTGCTGAGACCGGGGTCCCTTCCAGCAGGCAACCTGGAGGAGGTTGACGGGTGACCAATAAGTGTACAGGAAGAGCTTATAACACCTTAGATTTCAGCTGCTAGAATTCGTAATTCCTTCGCAGCAGGCAGCCTTGGGGAAAGACTGAAAGATGCCCCAGTGGATTCTGCCACCTGGGTGTGACACACATCCAAACGCCCAAGCTCTTCCTATACTGTGTCCCTTAAGACCGGCTGAAGTTCTTTTAAATTGTGCTTGGTTCTGTTACAGCAACTGAAGGAGTCAGGTTAAAGCTTAAACAGTTACAGGTTTATTAAAGAAGCTTATAAATCATATGGTTACAATGGCTATTGCTCTATTTCTTAACTACTAGCAAAATATAGATCTTAAAAATGGTTACAAAGAAGATAAAGATAGAAAAATAGAAATAATGGTACCAAGTAACAGCTTACTCTTTCTATGTGTACACTTAAGACAGAGGACCACATACAGGTACAATTTTTACCCCCTTCTGTGCCTCTCGACTCCAGCATGTCAGGCCAGGGCCGGTCCCTCAATTCCTAGGAAAGACGAAAATACGAGGTGGGCATCCCCATAGAACCTCGGGAGGTCAAACACCTAACCCAACCAGCAGGTAGAGGGTAGAATGACACTCAAAAGAGAGTGTGCTGCTGTACCACCTTTATACTCATGGGGTCATGTATTTCTCTTTCTTATCTGTCATGCCAAATGGTGCTGGTCTGTCTTTTATGAGACCAGTTCTTACAAGGGAGTTGTGAACTTAATTTACACTTGTAAGAGAGAATTGAGATGATTAAATTGGAAGTACTGGGGATTCTTTTCTCAGTGGGAAATTCCTCTCCCAGGGACTGTGTGTGTGTTCGAATCAACAGGGGTGCCAGCCGGGGC